CCTGCCCGTCCTACACAAGTTTTGTCCAGGGCAGACTTTGTAAACTCTTCATTTCATGCAATCTATACCTCTTTATATCTTACCAGATGGCTTACCCGGCTCCGCCCGGCCCTGTCAATAATATATTTGTAATCAGCATGCTCGATTACCCCCCTGTGCCAACTCCCAGCCCTGTAGCTCAAATTTTGCAAAAAATCGATAAAATCGATATCAATCGATGACGAAAGGTAGCCTATGACACCCGCCGGGGCCCTAAGTGTATGTGTGCCAAGTTTGGTCCGGATCGGTTCAGAAATGGAATTTTCTATTCGGAACATACGTACACACAGACATACAGACATACAGACAGACAGACAGACAGACAGACAAACAGACATTCAGCTTTATATATAAGATATTGACAGGAAAACTCCATTTCCGTAGTCGGTAGAAAAAATGAGCTCAAAAAACTTCATTCATAAAAAGAAACGAGCAGATGCCGAAAATGCTTCTTTTTGCCTCTTGAAAATCCCATCTTTGGAAGCTGAGAAACCAACGCAGATTGGGTTTTCATCAAACTATCAAGTCTACTTTGAAGAGATCATGATCAGCTCTTTCCATAATATACGCATCTCCACAAATAAACCGCTCACCAAAAAAATGAGAAGGGAGATGAAAACTCTACAAATTTATGGAACGATCTGATATTGCACGCACTTTTTTCATGTGCTAAAAGTACACTGTCCAAATGAGGTTCTTTATTCCTATCTTTGCGCTCTAATTCCATGAGAACAAAATATTAAGCCGTTAGCAAACCAAACCGACTACCTCATTCTACGTAGTAATGAACATTGGCTGCAGAAACTTTTTTCGACCTTAAAGGCAGTGGATCAGCAGAATGGACCTCTATCAGATTTTAGTAGTATTAGGTAGTAGACCCCCCGAATACACCGTAGCTCCATCCCATCCTCCATTTTATGCTCTAAGTCCTGTAATGCAGATTGAAAACTCCACCAGCCCCGCCTACTTCCACTGAGTGGGCGTCATTGGTGAAGTTTTGAAGCGCTTTTTCAGGACTTAGCGCATGAATTGGAGGGTGGGGTTGGGGCTACGTTGTATTTTGGGGGTCTACTACTTAACACCATTAAAATCTGATAGATCCATTCTGCTGATCCACTGCCTTTAAACAACACTTGATCCAGTTATACAAATTAAAAAGCTGTCTACAAGCAGATGTGACCTGAGCTCACTGGGAATGCTGAGACCTTCAAGGATTTTATGTACACAGTTCTCCGGTCATCAGAAGTCAGGGCCCGACAAGTGTAGGTTTCTAGGGTTTCTCAAAACGAAGTTCCCCTGACTCGAAAATTTTAGGAAGTCCCTTTTGACCCTTATCGGAAACCTATCGACTTAGAAGAAGATGAAAACAAAAAAGACTCAGCAGTCTGAAAGGAAAAACGTGAAATGAGAGTAAAAAGTTCGAGGTGAAATCGAATACTACGCATGCACAAGAGTTTGGCGTTGGAGCGCGATATCCAACAAAGCGATATATGAAGAAATCAAGACAAAAAGGAAAGGCAACAATCTTATATATAAAGCTGAATGTCTGTTTGTCTGTCTGTCTGTCTGTCTGTATGTCTGTATGTCTGTATGTGTGTACGTATGTTCCGAATAGAAAATTCCATTTCTGAACCGATCGGGTCCGGATCGGTTAAGAAATGGAAATTTCTATTCGGAACATACGGCGGAGCCGGGTAAGCCAGCTAGTATAAAATATTTTTATGCTCAGAGACAGATTGTCGACCGTAGAATCCGTGCGTGGCAAAAAAAAATCCCACTTGAATTTGAACTTGATTGAACATACAAAAATATATGCTCCGATATCGTATGGTGGTCCTTGAAACGAACTTTTGGAAAATGTATTACTTCACATAATTTTTCAAAGCTTTTTACATATTTTACATGACCCCGCAAATAATATTCTGTGCCTAAAGTCCAACTTTGGTGTCATATGCTTGTGTTTATGCTGTAAACAAGCAATTTGTTGATTTTGAATTTGCCTTTGAATCGGGCGCGCTTTATGCAAGACACAGAGCACGTGTGCCTCTCGGACAAAGAAAAGTGTTCTGTCCGAAAAGTTTGATGCGACTTGCTGACTCCTTTTCTTTTAAACAAAGTTGTAAAGGCTTTACCTTATGCTTTCTCATAAAGTGATAACAAAAACAATGCCTACACAACGGAGAGTTAAAGCTGCAAAACGTATAAGTTGATGAAGATTACACGCAGGTCATCAACAGTGGATTCCACGCAATATAATAGGTTGTCCCAAAGGTGAAGCGTATTTCTAAATGAATCGAACTGCTTTTTTTCCTAGAAGACTTAGGTAGCAAAGCAAGCTCTACAAAATGACCGCCAAAGATCCGTCTAAGTCGTGATCCAGGTGAAGATGGATCCAAAAATCAAAGTCTAACTACCCTAAAAATCAGATCTCATTCGAGAAACCTACGACTCTTCTACGTTGTCATGCAGTAGACGCATAGTAGTCCCCAAAAATGCATTTTGTGTATTTTTCCGCGGCTCAAAACTGAGAGACTAAAATGGTTCGCAAGCGCAAAATGTTAAACTTGTAATCCTCAGTTAGCAAAGCACAAACAAAGATAAAGTTTCTAAGGTTATACTAACTATGGCTTGTTGTATACAATGACCTATGTGGGAGGGGACTGGGGATGGAGTTTGCCATTTTTAAAATCTCTTTGCTCTCGCTTTCTAAGCGCGGAAAAAATCCAGTAAAGGCATTTTTGTACCACAACATAATTATCTGCTCTGTACCATAACCAAGTTTGAGGTGCGTAGGATTTTCCTTCGCAAAAATCCAATTCTGTGATGAATTTTTTTCACATTTTGTTCCAAACATTACCTGAATCACGACTTAGGCAGATCTTTGGTAATCATTTTGTGGAGCTTGCTTCGCTCTATCGAATAGTACCCTAAGTTTGCTAGGAAAACAAAAAAGTTTGATTCTTTCAGAAATACGATTTACTTTTGAGACAACCTAATAAAAGCCTACTAAGAGGATACCAACTTTGTTTGTGAAACTTGTGAAAAAATTGGAATGGGCAAATAGATTGAGTTCGAATGAAAAAATTCGCAATTCACAAACCTTGAAGTGGAAGAAAATATCCGTTTGCAATTCGTAAATAGTAGAAAAGTATGAGTAGATTCATGCGCGATGCCAAAGGTACTCTAGAGCATCCAGGATGTTCAAGGGTACCAATTCGGCGAAGGAGAAATTCTACCGTTGTGTCGCGTAAGAAAGAGTGCAAATGATTGCGACGTTTTCAATTGCGCTCGACCGTTGCCGGGTAATAATCGTCGGTGCTGGTGTTCGTGTACTACTGGAATCGCTGGCGATTTTCTCGCGTACCTAAACAAACTGGTCCCCGCTCGTGGCAGACGAGCGTGAATCGCGAAAAACGTCGAAGCAGTGACCCGTAGCATAAGACGAAGTCACAAAGTATTACCTAAATTGCCAATCCAGACATTCACGCTCAGAATGTGCACTTAATTACGCTGGGAACGGGAAAATAGGACTTTTTGTAAAACATGGGCTGGAATATCCGGACAAAATTTGGGTAAATACGCAAAAGAATGAGCGAGGGGCCAGAATGCGAGTGAAAGTGAAAACGGAAGGAATAATGCATTATCGCACCTCTGTAAATATAAGCGTACATTAGGAAATAGGGACATATCTTACACCCCAATTCCTTCATTCTGTACTTGCCACGTTCCTTGAAAGGGAGAACGTGTTTCACTTTCATTCTTTTTTCAACTTTTCTTCGACTTGCAAGTTCAACTGCCCCGATCTTAACCCCTTGAAAATCTTGCGCTGCGGAAGTTCCCGTTTTCAACCTGACTGACGTAAAAATCTTGTGGAATTTCCCATCTTCAGCGTTTCCACTTTTGCAATAGTAACCAAAATCCTGCGGAACCGCAGCAAATTGTCCTGTGGAAATTCCGCTGAATCTGAGTAGATAGACATCCGATTTATGCAACACGTAGCGGGCTGGCTCGAATAGACACCAATCCTTTACTAGATAGTCAGAAATTAGTTATCTATCGAGCAACGACTTGCTCACTACTGGGATCGTCTTTGAAGCACTCAAGCTGATTGAATCGGGCTATACCAATGGCTACCGAGGCGAGGGCCTCCTCCCAGGAAGGTAGCGAGAATTTTTGATTCACACTATAACAGCCTCAAGAATGATGAGCATAAATCTATGACCATAGTTGTCAAGATTTGCACACTCTATCATTCTATCATAAAAAGGACTTTTTTGGCAATAGTGATTTCGAACAGAATTTCGCAAATTTCACTGATGATCCGGTTGTCCTAGCTCTCTTTGCATAATTTGTTCCAGGATTTTATTATTCATAGCAAAGATCTCTGCCGGTGGACTTCCGCAAAAGTGCATCATTCACAACATGGCTGACAAATGGGTTCCGAAACATATTTCTAGCAAATTCGGACAGTTCAATGTAGGCCAAAACGGTCTACTTCCACAATAAGAATTGGGGTTCAGGCAATTGCAAAGCAGGGAAATCTAGATTATTTTTTATTGAAAAATCGCTCTTGAACTGGCGGCGACGTAGAAGTTTCCATGGGTTATTCAAGGAAACTGTGAAGATTTCCAATGTCCAGAAATCTCTCCATTTGGTATCATTTGATTGAAACACTTTTAGAATTTAGTTCTCCCTCTCCTCCATCCCCTCATTCAACGTCATAATTCCTCCAAAATATATCCAACGACAGACCGATGTCCAACAAAAAAACTGATTACACACACAGGTAACTGAATAACTTATCCTACTCCGCCTGTTGAACTTTTCACGCTGTTTTCAGGTGATTCCGATTATGCAAATCAGCCGACAATCAGCCCCGAGTTTTGTCAAACATAAACCTTTCATTGCCAACTGTTCTTTACCAGTGTTCACACTCATATTCAAAGCCATCTCCATCTACTATGGGACTAAAAAATATTGCTGATTTTCACAAAGGACAGCGCGTTAACGGCAAAACTGATCCTAAACCAGATATGGAAGCCACGGCTCGAGTGAGGAGGTGAGCAATACTTTTTTTTTCAAACATTTTTAGGATTTTATAATTTTTGTATAATTTTGCAGGTCCTATAGGGGCTACCTTTTCGTGGCTTTGGCCTTGGCCACTGCTCTTGCCATTTCTACCATTGTTCTTGCCGTTTTACTCCACAATAAGATACATAAATTGGACCGAGCTGTAAGTGATCTCCCTCCCCCCCCCCCCAAATTTTCCCCAATCAATAATTTCAAAATTTCCAGGAAGACGATCTCGAGGAATGCCGTGGAATGCTCATAAAAAATTCTCCAACCGCTGTCCGTAACCTCACCGCAGCAATTCTAAAATGATCCACTTTTATCTACTATCAACCGTTAGAATCAATCGATATATCGATCCGTTCCGGAAGGCGTAAAAAGCCTAGAAGCCTTCAAAGTGTCTGCGTTTATGTCTTGTTATTTATGATCTTGTTATACATTGTTTTGAGCCCTCAAGTCTTACTAACCAAACCTTTCTAACCCATCTTAATTCCATTTAACTTCTAATCCAACCTAACTACCAGAATTACCATCTCAGGGTATGTATTGCTTCATTTTTTTCATATTTTAAAATATTTATACAAATAAACTATCAAAGGCACATCACAACAGTAACAACTTCAACAATGAGAGTATAGTAACAATGTACGACATGTTGAAGTCTCATCATTGTCGCTTTGTTTCCCTGAAATGGTAATTATTTGTTTTTGGAAAAATGATCTGATTAATAAATAAAAATATATTCTAGTTGTGGAAGCACACAGAATATATCTCAATTATACCATATGTAGTTTGTCCAATACAGAAAGGGAACACATTTTAGGGCGAAAAGTTGGAAAGAAACTAGTCAAAGCAAAATAATTTTCTCAAAAATATTTATAAAATTTTGCATTTAATTCTACTCTCGTAATATGCAAAAGCACTCATTTCGATAATGTAAATTCTACAACCGTCTTCCCCTGTCCTGCAACGAAAAGGCGTGAAAAAAATGATTTGTGACAAAAGCGTAGTATGTACAACGTCTTGCTTGTGTACTGCTCGAGTTTTGCGCAGCAAATCGCTGGCTGGTCGAGGACATAACAAAGTTCACCTCAAATCTCAATATTTCACGTCTACCTTACTGTGAAATGTGCATAAATGATGGCCAAACAGTGCTGCCCACTATTTGATGGCTGGTATAATGTTCTTGCATTGCTGACAACATCTGCGCGTAAACAAGGCAAAGCAAATTTTATGCGCAAGTCGCGAGCAAGCTGTTGGCTCAAAAGCATAGCATTTTTTCGCGCAAATGTTGTCCTTACCGGAGAGACATGATAATCACAGGTAAGATCTGTTACACTGTAGTGAATAATTTTACAATTTTGTTGTGGTTTCGATTTGTAAAACTTCCTTGATTCTATGTCCATTGCGTTCCAAAATCAACCGTTAGTATTTTTTTCCATTTTTTCTCACCATAAGTTCCTGATGGCAGCCGCTTTCTGTCGTACTATCCGTTTCGGATGTGCAAGCGCTTGAGTTGCAGCTCCTACCACTGTGGTGATATCTGCATCGCGAAAATCATAGCTCGCTCGCTTCGCCAGTAAACCCAACGCTTCCAGGCAAGATAATACCGTAACCTAAAAAAATGATATCATTGCCCTTCAGCTGCCAGAGATCAAAGATCAGAACAAAAAACAAAACAAGAAATTTGCATTTTGAAATTCACCATTGGAGGATGACCGTTGTTCAAAGTACGTGTCGTCGCTGCAATAATCCGCTTTCCATCATCTATTGAAATCGCAGACGAGGGCAAGCCACCGATGAAGCGAGGAAGTGATGACAAAACAGAAGGTTGAATATCTTTAGCGTCAAGTGCGACTCGAAACACTGGTAAGAACTGAAATCATAGATTTAGTGGATTAATTCTGACGCTTAGTTTTGTAAAATATTTTCAAACGAAAACGGAGCGTACCTCATCGAATTGCTGCTGAACAGCTGGATTATTTTCGGTTGATTTCAGCAAGGCTGGCAGTAATCGCATCAGAACATCTTTACCTCCTGAAATTATGAATGGTTCTAAAGTTTTGGGTGGAACTAGAGAGAAACGTTTACGAAAGATGATAAAGTAAAAGGTATAGGTATATGGTTTCAGAGAAATAAAACTAAAAAATTCTGCACACAAACTTGCAAAAATCTGATGCACTATTGTCATTTTTTTAGCTAAAAAAAGTTTAGATGAAGCTATCAGAAATTTCTCTCAAGCGTAATAATTTGCGATACACATAAACATATAAATTATAAAAGAGATATAACTACAGCAAATGATAATACAGATAAAAACGAATAAATAAAAATAATGTAAGTAAGTAAAAATTAATAATTAGGCTACCTTGATCCGCTGAATTCACAGCAGTCACATAACAGTTGCTGAGCTGGTTGAAAACTCTGCAATTTAAAAAAAAACTAATTCTTCGCGGTTTTGGCTTCTTAAATAACCCAAGGCGAAACTAGGCGAAACTAACCTTTGCTTCCATAAAAACGTAGTTTTGTGCAGACTTCTCTGAGGATCATTAGCGGGACTATCAAAATCGAAGAGATCATTGAGTTGCAAGCAAAGCCGCACTTGTTGAGAATCTTTTACATGACAAAGCCGATCAAAGAGCTGAAACAACGAGATAATAAATTTTTGATCCTACATCAATAAAATTTTATTTGAGTAACAGTCAATCTATTGAAAAAAGGCATGAATGACGGAGTTGCTAAGCAGAAAAAAAGGATAAGCTGATCTTGAAATGCTTACACGCGCAATTGTTTATAATAGCTAAAAATAACGGGAATATCGGAGTGCCTCAGGGAGGAGTGTTATCACCCACATTGTTTCTCATATATCTTATAATGTAGATATATTTATCATATATCTACATTAGATCTTCCATCGCCACTCAAAACCACTCAGGATATAGAGGTACGGATGTATGCTGACGACATAAAAATTTATGGAGTCTATACTGCTACTGACTGCTTTGAAGTGTAATCTGCCCTACAGCGGTCACTAGACCATAGTTGAATGGGCTTCGCAATGGAGCTTGACTTTGAATCTGAGCAAGAGTTGTGTACTGCATATGGGGGACTGCATAGCCGGAACCTAATCAGTGAATGGGGTTCCATTGAGGTCGTGTTCCTCTGCTCGGGATTTGGGGGTTATTGTTGATTCAAAGCTGAGGTTTTCGGAACATGTTGATGCTGCTGTTAGGAGAGCTTATTGGTCCTTGTTTGTACTGCTCCGTACTGTCAAAAGCAAATCACCCGTTATTTTGACGCGTTTGTATAAAGCACTTGTTCGACCTCATCTTGAATATTGTTCCCAGTTCTGGAATCCTACACGTAAAAAAGAAACTGCAAAGCTTGAACAGGTGCAAAAAACTTTTACTCGTCTCTTGTGTATTCGCCTCTCTCCTAACAACAGACCTCCGAATTATGAAGCTAGATTGGAAAAGTTTAATTTACAAAGCCTTATTTGTCGTCGTAATATTGCTAACCTAGTTTTTTGCTTTCGAGTGCTTAAGAAAGAAAACAGATTGATGGTAACCAAGTACTGGATATTCGTACCAACTAGTGAGAGATTAGGAGGCTTTAATTTGCATTATAGAGCCATTAATTGTAATTCGTCTAGGATGTACAATAATATCTTCTGTAGATGCGCTCGATGGTTTCAGCTGTTGCCCAGAGATATCATTTCATCAAAGGATGCGCGATGCTTCAGTGCTAAGTTGAAACGGGTTGAGCTTACTCGGCTTTTTTCTCGATAGTGTTTTCTGTCGTTAGTCTTTTTCAGTTTATCTCTGGTAACTACGATGCATGTGGTTCTACTATGGTGATGTTGCATTATGTCGCGGTTACTGTGTGCTGCTTACATAGTCGTCGCTGATGTTATTTGACACCTTTCTGCTCATGTCTTGATAGTCGGCTACATAGAATTAAAGAGAGGCCGTTATCTTCAGTTTTAAATTTTTGTTTTGTTACTAGTAACGATGATCATGCCTTACTAACGTTACTTCAGCGAGTCTCTTCATCAGGGTTACGTTAGTATCATTCAATTACCTCATTATAGCCTGGCCCCATCTATAGTCTGCTTGATTTCGTCTGTTGGTTTGACTCGTTCTAACTAGTCGGTAGGTACTTATCCCTACCACTCCTTTGGATTCTTGCTTCCTTCAAAACAAAGTCCTATCGGGCCTGGTCAGCTAGCTTTTACCGGGGAGGCTCGCTGACACCCAAAAAGGGGTCATCATGAGTTTTAGGGATGCAAGAGGTCTTTAGATTTTTTGTGCAAAGTGCTTTTTACTGCGCTAGATGGGTCTAGAGCTTCGTGTTTTGTTATCCATCCTTTATTTTCTGTTCCCTGTGACTGGGAGGATAGTTCATGTGTTGTGTTTTTGTTTGAGCTTTCTGTTTGATCTTTTTCCTTTTGATGCACCTTGAGTGTAGTTATAAAATAAAATAAAAAATATCAAAAAATTGCATTGAACATGGTAATCCAAGTGAAACCATAACTGCAAACTTAAGAAAGTTTACCTCGTTAACCAACTTGACGCCTTCTTTCTTACCACGAAGTAGCAAACCTTTCGCTATAGCACAGTCCACGCTAAAACTCACTTGATTACCATTTAAGCCTTTACAGTAATCGTCACAAAACGTACTCAAATTTAGGTATCGAATTTTTTACAGTTTGTAGCCTCTGAAGATCGTCGATATGATTTGCTATACCAGTAAACAACAAATACAAACAGTGCTCGTTTGTGGCAAGATTTTTCAGACATCGTTCCATGAGATCTACATTCTGAAATATCAATTTCTTCCACGTAAAATATACCGCTGGCTTGAAAAGACCTGTGACTGAATAACAATCAGACAAAACATATCCATCAATTGTCCCATATCTACTACTTTCTCAGCAAATCGATGACGAGTATCCTTGTCTAGCAGAAGACCCATAGCTTGCAGTGTTTCTCCATAGGAGGTTACTACCTCGCGAGAGGGGTCCTTGATCTGAAACTACTAGCTGAGCATAAAAGCAGTGCCAGCACGATTGGGTAACTGGGCTTCTAATGGGGGTACTGATCGGAAGGCTGTAGTCAAGCCATTGCCCTCCAAACTTTTTCCAAGACCGTACTCTCTCCAAATGGACCAATCAGCGTCCTTGAATACGGTAGAAGATACAGTCTGGTTGATTGAAGTTAAAGCAGCTCTCGAACCGAGTGATTCAATGATCATTCATTAGAGTGGCTTATGACTGCTTAGGCCTCAATCGCTCTTTCAACAGGTAACCCAGATAACCACTTTCAACTGGGCACTGCCCATAAAAATTTCAGTCAAAAAACTATAAGTTTCTAAAGTACCTTCGATGCAAGGGCAATGAATTGCTCCACAAGATGTGGAACCATATTCGGTGCTTTCACGGTTAGCCTTTTCGCCATGTCCAATACAGAAGCAAACATTTCGGGACTAGCATCTGTAAATGCTTTGCGTAAAGCAAGAAGAGTTCGACATTTCCAAAATTCAAGATAGAAACACATCCAATCATAAGATAAGCCAAAGGTTTCTTCATTTTTAATATATGACTTTCATATATGCAAGATAGTATCTATAAGAAAACTCAAAACAAAAAAAAAGGAGGATCCAAGAACCTACTTTGAGATAAAGCTGATAAAAGCCTCTTAAGTAACTCCTCATAAGACGACTTGTCATGAACAGCAGCACATAGCATAGGAAAATCTCCAACAGCTGGAAAATGAGATTTCAATATTGTGCAAGGATTTCAAAAAGTGAAAGCTGTATAACCGATACTTACAGATCTCGGGTTTTTCCGCGATGATACTTTGAAGAGATTCCCACTTTGTCTGAGCAAGAGTTGTAATCAGATTTAAGTAGCTTGCCCTGAAAGGGGTCAGAAATAGGTAGGCTTTACTTGAAGTGATTGAAAAATTTGAAAAGCTCTGAAAAGACGGACTCGATAAAAATATATTGAAAAAAGTTTGAGATAGCTAGAAACGACGAAAAAATTGTTGTGATACAAGAAAGAATAAACAAATAATCGTCCTGGCAAATCAAAATTGAAAAAAAAAACATCAAACGGCAAGAACTCACTTCGCACTATCCTGCAACAGCCTTCCCCACGAAGCTCTAACTAGTTCAATACTCCTTGACAGGGTCTCCTCAGAAAGTGGCACAATTTTCAAATAAACCTATAAAAGCTTATTTCTTGAAAACTTTTGAAATTTCAAAATTGGAAATTTACAGAAGCACAAGTGTGCAAAGCTGTAAGTGCTTCATTCGGCGCCGTTTCTCTAGCCGCATCCAAAGACGCAAACAGTGATGACTGGAATCGAGACAGGACAGTGTCTAAACGGAAACATTTTTGCTACTTCCAAAAAATATCATAAAAACTCAAAAAATTTGCGCAGCTTGATTACAACATTAAAATAATTTCCCCCTCGCTCCAAGACTGAGACCTATTTTTCTCAAAAAAGATTTATGGATGTGCACTTGTACGCATCTATGAATGTAGGCGGAGCCTAGTGTTGACAGGGGGTGGAGTTAGCCAATCTCCTCTTTTGTATTACCAGCAGATTTTGAGCGAAGTATACATGTACACGTGTGTCGATTCTGAAGAAATACTTTTTAGGCTTACCAAAACCATTTTCGTGGATGCATTTGGCCCAATCCATCAAAGCCTTCAATCCTTCCTGCAAAATTTCCAGACGGTCGGCTTTCACATTCACAACATCACCTTGAAGATTGGATATTTACAGATTGTACTGGAAAAAAATTAAATTTCACCTTGTGCTAGCATAAGAATCCATGGAATGACTTGATCATAGATCTGATTACGAATACTTGGGCCAGCTTCAGCAGCACAGCGTAAAAGTGACAAAGCTCGTTCAGTTAGACCCATTTCGGCTTGGAGAACAAATGGCTCCAAATCTTAAAAAATAAACAAAATCTTAGGAGGCCAAAATAATCCAAATTTGGGAAAGCATACTCTCTATAAGTTGTGACCCAAGTTTCTTTGTAGCTTCAGCATCAATCTTTTCCACTGCCTTTGTAATTTCGGTAAGAGCTCGCGTGACAGATTCCGGAAGGCTACCTGAAATATAAGACCTTGACTTTTCAAATTCTGCGACCACCCTGTGGACAACCCCACCCACGCAAAGCCTATAAGACCAAACGCATACGGAAGCGCTTTTGTTTTCGCAACAGAATTGAGTTCGTAGAATCCCGGCACTTTGTGGACAAACCCGTCCAAACACTGGACCCCGCCCACTTTGAATTCACGACCTATGCTTTCTATACGAATAAACTCACCTTTAAGATCCAATCCGACCACGCGTAGTCCTCCTAATAGAACTTCTAGGTGATCGACCAATTCCTCTGCTGGGAACACCTTTGCAGCTTCAGCCTATAAAAAATTTCTCAAAAACATAACTCAAAGATGAAAAACTACCGACAAGTAAAACACAAGTGTCCTCCCTCTGCTCCGGAGTAGTCTCATCGTCAGTAAATTTTTCCTCAATAAGCAGATAACAGTACGGGGCAAAATCAGGGTGCGCTACCAGACATTTTAGGCATCCTTCAGCCAAGAGATCTTTGGTGATAGGTGAACTGGCTGTCTGAAAACTACACTTCTTCGCTAATTATTTGTGCCCCCATCTCCTTTTACCTGCTTAAACTCCACTGGAAAATAGCAAGCAACGACTTCAAATAAGTCTTCAACAAACGGTCCTGAAATTAGAAAATATCCCTGAGCATAAGGTACCCCGCAATTGATCGAACATCCATCGGATCGTGATTTCTGCAAGACTAAGTAGCTTAGCTAAGATTATTTGCACAAAGATCCTAGGTGCATACCGGCTCATCTGGAGTGACAGTTCTATGAAAAGAAAGCTAAGGAGCTCAGCGCAAAATAATCTTTAGGGAACGATACGTGTAGCCTGACGTATACTACTTATCCTCTAATATCCGAAAAGCGGATTCAATCTTATACCAAGAAGATAATGCTATACACCTACTCTCTTGCAGAAAAAGGCATAAAACACTTAGATTCTCAGATTTTAAAGTATAAGAGGTTTTTTGTAAAGCTCTCAGGTTTTGAAGTGCAGGAGATTTTTTTCAGTATTTTTGTTAATTTCGTCTCAGCATTGACCGATCGCAGTGCAATGATTTTTTTTCAAACCATAATCATAATCGGCATATTTGCAGGCAATACATTTGTGTAAAAAAATTATTGTAAAACATTACCTACTTCATAATTTCTGAGAGCCCAAATTTTCTTAAGTAATAAAAAAAATTTTCTACTTTAGAAACACTTCCCTCCCATTTTACGTGATAAACAGACAAAGTTTTTTTTTTTCAACACAAGTAATTCAACATAAATAAGTAAAATTTCTCGGATTACCCTTTTCAAGAAAAAACGCGAAATTTCTGAGAAAAAAAAACTTTTTGAGTCATAAAATCGACTAGTTCTTACTCACAAACAGTCAAATATTTTTTGGAAGTTTTAAAAAACCAAACTGCTTTGTGAGAATCGATTTAAGGTTACAAGACTGCAATGACTTTGCAAAGCACCCCAAAAAAATTTTCGGAGGGCGTTGCTGACGCCAACTCGCGCTCATTCTTCCCTTTCACAATCATACAAAAGCTAGAAATATAATGCAAGTATTACAAACTTCACCTAAAGTGCACAACTGAGCTACGATGACAAACATGCGAAAAACCAATGGCAAACACTTCGGATGTCTTTCGCCTCCCATAGTTTTGATAAAAGTCATGGCGAAGTCTGATCCCAATGATTTTAGTTCTGAAAGATACATGGACTAAAATAGGGGAAACTCTGAATTGGGGAACATTTGGCACCTTTCAATCGATGTAGTAAAAGCCATTCTAGAATGTTATACTGCAGCAGTCGATTGTCTACATCCCATCCTTGTACATTTCCATCTCTGTAAGATTTGCAGCAAATTTTTGACAAATTTTCGTAGCACAATGAACTTACTTGAACATAATCTGTACAAGGGGCCTTTCAAAGTCATCGGGTAGATTTTGACTGTGCAGGACCTAAACATCAAATTCGAGAAACAAATGCCCTACTATTCAGTAATGGGATTTTGATAGTTTTACCAAGTGATGGACACCGCGAATTGCATGTGATGCAGCAGTAGGAGACGATTCCAATCGTCCAAGAAAGAAATCCAGAAGCAGCGCAACTAAATTGTCCATAAGTCCTTTAACTAATTAAAACTGGAAAACTTTCTTACCCTGATCCTTCGACAAAAAAGCATTTGGCAATGCACATACTGTGTCCACAATCTCAGACAACGTCGCATCCCTTACATCTTCATTCTGTGATAAAAGTTGTGGTCTAAAGCAACAAATTTTGGCCCTTTTTTGACCGGTCAAAAACCAAGCTTACTTTTTCATTTCAAGATAGTCACTAAGAGGAAGCGATCTATCAGCAACCATTCGCTGATAGAGGCCCGCATCACCTGATGCTAGGACCATGGCCTGAAATATGGATTTTCGAAAAAATGAAAGTGTGTGGTATAGTTTGATAGCAGATACGAGGAAGCAAACTGCAGAAAGGAAAATTTTGCAAGACATTTTGGGCACTTTTTATCGAAAAAAGTTTACATAAGAACGAATTCTATAATGATTAATTCTATAATAATTCTATTACATATGATGAGAAAAACTTCACATTAAGAAAACTCAGAAAATCTTGACACATTAGTATATAGTGCGTAAGAAGTACGAAGAAACGAGAAATACGGGGTTTCGTCAGCAAATAAAAAATATTTTCTTGCGGAAAGACTTTTTTTTGGAAAGACGATATTTGTTCCCATTACTCTTATACAAAAAATCAAAACGATGTTTCGGAAGACGTAGGGAAAACCTAGAAACTATATTTCTGACCTCTGATGTGCGCGTGTGAAGGGTGAAAGGTCACCAAGAGATAACTTCTTCTGATAAAAAACCCATTCCCTGTGCAAATCACCCATTTCACTGACAACTCATTCATTCCCAACTGCAACGTAATAGCCATAATTTTTTCACTTCCTTCTCAATGTTAGGTGTACTAACCAGCTGTAGGTATCTGCCCGGTGACTGATAAGGACGAGGTGTAAATATCAACAACCTTTATCAAGTTTTTAGACGTTGAGTCGATATTTAAGGTCTCACGAGATTGGTATCGCTCTTGGTCCTCACACGTGTTGTATCAATTGATTCTTGTCTGTTGATCAAATCGCTTTGAAGATTCAATAGCAATGTATAGACAATTGTGATTTTAAAAGTTTTATATGTATTGAAGCGTAGTGGCTAAGCCATTGTTCAAGCGGCAGCTCATGGGATTCATTAACGGTCGAGAAATTTAGCTCCAAACTCTCGCCCATACCGTAGTACCTTGCGGTTCGAGTACGGTACTTGTAGTACGGGCGAGAGTTGAATTTCTCAGCCATAAATAAACCATATGACTTGCCACTCATATAATGACTTGGTTGAAGTCTTCCAATAGTAACCCATGTAGAAAGTCCAGGGTGTAGAGGAACTCTGCCAGCACTCGCCGCATCCCGGGCTACTAGTCCTTTCCACATGCTATATAAAATGAGGACCAGTAGTCCGCGGAAGTCGCGTCACTGCGAAATTCGTTTCTCTACCCAAATCCAACTATCCAGATTTCCTTAACACTACCTCCAATAGAATTTACAAGATTAATATTTTGATCAAACCACCAAAAGATCAAATGATCAGCCTTTCCGTTTTCACTTATCAATCCAATCTACAAACTCTATACGTCATATGATTCATATAGGCGCCAGTTGTTCCGCATATCGCTTCGTCTTATCAGCCCAGTATTTAGGCTAACATTGCTGGTGCTTCCTTTGTCTTCACTACTGTCTGTTAGCTTACTTGGACTCAACTAACTGCAGCTGCAGTATTAACCTAAAAGAAAGTGGCAGGATTCCGGTTTCCGTATCAGCAACAAGCAACTCGTAACTATGAGATCTCTCACATTATTAACTGTGGTCATCGCATGTGGAATATCCGTGCAGGTCAGTAATAGCACTTTTTGCAGCGACAGCTGTTCCCCGAAACGGTGAGATTACGGTAAATCAATGTTTTCAGAAAGAATCGAACAAAGGCGAACCATCCATAGCTATCATCGGCGCCGGTATGAGTGGTCTATCGGCAGCTCGACGATTGATTGAAACTGGACAAAAAGATATCGATATCTATGAGGGTTTGGACCGCATTGGAGGACGTGTACATCCCGTGCCTTACTGTAAGCGTCTTCAACCAATAAGGACATTAGGGTACTGTAGCTATCGATCGATACCTACTATTACGAAAGGAACGCGCAAGAAACTGATATTGCACGAGAAAACATGACAGTCGAACTTTTTGCAATGAATCGCTTCTATTTCACTACCCTCCCTTTTCCCCTCCCTCTCAACCCTACCCCCCCCCCCCCCCCCCCCGCCCCCGAACCGGCAAAAATTTCGGAGAAGGGGAGTACGATTTCAAACAATTTAAAAGTTACTAAAAACCCCACAAAGTTCATTCAAAAACTTCCAAAACTTAGTACCCAAAGAAAATTTTTGGTCAGTGAGTGGGAAATTGGTTTTTCCTATTAATTACAAAAATGGGAAGAGTGGGCCTGACTCTACTCCTCATCCTTCAATTATATCCCATTTTTATTAGGCAAATTTTCAGATGGCGGATACATCCAAATGGGTGCACAATTCATAAATGGAGCGGACAATCCTATGCATGAAATTGCGACAAAGCTTGGAGTGCTAGGACAAGCAGTTTCCGATACAGCACATGTGGAAAATGCCGAATACCTGATAGGAAATCAGCCAATATCCAAGTTTGTTGGGGCACGATGTTACACAAAAAGTTCCAAAATTTCTTTCTATTTTAGAAAGGACATTGAGCTTTTCGCAAAGTTTGTCGAACCATTGGATCCAAAATACCGAAGACTGGCGAAGGACCACGACTTGCTATCACGTGTTTACACCATCAAAAGCATCTACATGGAAGATTATGCGAGATTCTTGAAGGTATATCCAAAAAAGTAGAGGCACGGTCCAACCAAATTTGGATGCCTGGATTTTATGTAGGAAAACGGGTACGGAACTCTATGTCGCAAATAGGCTTCACCGCGGGCGGACAACTGGTCCAAATCATGTCTGTAAAGTGTGGAGCTGCGCGCTTTGTTGCAGACGTCGCGTGGGACCATCCCCTTTCGGCGACGTATACTCTCTCACCCGTGGGAAACTGACTGAAAGGCTGAGCTAAGCTATCGCCCAAGAGGCAGCTCAAAAAACACATTCGTATGCGAAATATCCAACCTTGAACTCAGCACCAGACCGTAGTTGAGGACACTTGGCCTCCCTGAAAAGTACGGTCTGGGCTTGAGTTTAGAGCTGGATTTTTCGTCCAAAATGAATCGTATGAGCTAAGAGTTGAGCAATGGCGAGGGCCTCCAAATCACTATTCACACAAGCCTAGATACACAGATGAGCCAATGCCAAGCAATGCTTTCAGCAGCACAAAATCACTGGAGCAAGAAGAAAAGTCTTTGATGCCCTCACCCGTTCCTACAGATCCTATTGGGAATTCGAATGGGCCGCTGATTGGGCTGATGTGAGCTTTTTTGTGTATCTCATTACCCAAACAATTTATATGCCTTTACAGTTGAGCCCGAGAGTCCTGACCGAATTCGATCAATTCAACAATGAAGGCGAATCATTCTACACAAACAAAATTGGCTTCAAAGCTATACTGGACTACCTTCGTAAACCTCTCTCACCCCAAATGCTTCACTTCAACACAACTATCACAAAGATCGAGCATTCTTCCAACGGAGTTATTCTGACGACAACAAATGGGAAAATTGCCAAAAGATATGACTATGTGATCGTGACCTCCTCCTTGGGACATCTCAAAAAGTACCATCATCAGCTATTCACACCACCTCTTCCTCGCGACAAAGTCAACGCTATCGAAAAGATCGGTGAGTAGAAAAGCTGTTCGTCAATTCCATGGAAGTGGAGTAGTTTATCGAGCAAATTTTTAGGCTTTGGTGGATCTTGCAAGATTTTCTTGCGATGGGAAAAACCATGGTGGAACAACAATAGCCATTCGATTGCACCGCTACCTGTCGAAGGAATGGCTCGAGATGTTTTGGATCCATTCGAGCGAGAGCTCACAACATTGCAGGTTAGTGGAAATCTTAGTATTTCACCGGAAAAATAGGAAAACCAGGTGACGCGGTCATATGAAGCTCCTGTTTGGGATTGTTGTCTCTCAGACAGAAAACACTGCAAACCAATTATCGTTCTTTATTTCCTTTGTTTCTCTTTCTTTCTTCTTTCTTCTCTCATCTCTCTTGATTTCTCCTTATTTTCTCCGCCCCCCCCCTTCTTCTCCTTCATCAGGTTTCGTTAAATCCCCTTCCCCTCCCGTCATTGTCTGAATTAGTGATCAACGTTCAAAAAGCATACGTACACCTTATCAAGAGCTGCACGTGCTAATAATGCGTCTTCAGCGCAAAACAGAAGTGATTCTTAGGAAACGTAAACAACTGACTATAATCTGAAGTTTAATTTTGCTTGAAGACAATAACCTAAACTTTGATTTTGCTTCAGGGCAACAGTGCGCTCCCCTCTCCTCCTCCTTCCTTCCCCTCGAAGAGTGTCAGGACGAATTATCTCCCCAATGGTCCCATAAAATTTCTTGAACAGCTTTATCCAGCTTCGTGAACAAAAATGGTATGGCAAATATTTGAGACTCCAGGTTATCTCGATAATGTCAAATTTCTTTTGGAAGAATACCTCCTTTCTTCTCCTTCTTCCCTCCCCTCCCCTACCCTCCCCTCCCCTTCCTCTTTCCTCCCTCAGAAACTTCACCACATGAAGATGTGGGTAACAGGAACGATTATAAAGTAAAAAGCAGTTCCGCAACAATTTTCTTTATAAATTCAGGCTATGGACTGGGATCCAAATACCTTGATAGCATGGGTAGCTGGAGCTGGTCATCCGATAGTGGACGACATGAGTGACGAAGAGTTCAGTTACAGGCTAACAAAGCTCATCAGAGATATGAAAAATGATCAAAGCATAGCGCCACCAAGCGAGATCATCAGGTGCGTACGTTCTGATCCATTGCTCTCACATGTGTTCTGATCAGACAATTCAGAACAAAACTAACCAAGAACGAACTACTGCTAGGATCTTACTCTTACATGAGTTTAGCACAGGCAAAGGCTAAAATCTCACATTCTCGTCTTTCGATCCCAGTGAGGCACAATAAGAGACCCGTGGTTCTGTTTGCCGGAGAAGCAACACATCACAGGTGAGATTTTACAGGTAGTATCCATAAAAGTTTGAGTATCTGCATTTCTTATTTGGCATTATTTAAGAAGCCTAAATAAGGGATCTGACAAGTGAGACTCATATGATTTATGCACAGTCTAAAGATCCAACTCTAAACTCTCGCCCACTACCATATTTTTGAGCTAAATCCAGTGTCTTGGTACGGTAGTGGACGAAATTTTAAAGCAGACTTTCTCGGCTACAAGTGGATTGTACGAGTTATCGCTTATGTAATGGCCTAATCAAAGTTCTCTAATCAGTCCACATAGAAAACTTGGAGGCACAGATTTCCCAAAACTGCATTACTCTACCACTTAGCTAGCATCAAACCCCCACTTTTAGGCTTTTCCAAACCACCATCGGTGCTTACCTTAGTGGTCGCCGAGAAGCCGACAGAATACTGGACGACTGGCAAACTTATGAAAGAGCTCTGCCATCAACCTTGAACTGGCAAGATATCCCGCCTACCACCGGCTACAAAGGGACAGACAACATTACCAAGAAGAAACCGACCACCTGCAGCGATGATGTTATTCCTCTTCGTTCAAGTATCTTATGTAGCACCGATCTTCAACATGCTCACTATAGAAAGGCGTAGTATGTAAAACGACTTCTAAATAAGATAAATATGTAGACAAAGTTTGGCTAGCATGTTATATTGTAAGGTGCGAACAACCCAGACTTATGACGTAATGTTAAAATTTATATTAACGGTATAGATGTTTTTAAGCCTTCAAGATGAACCTAGAGAGCTTCTCAAGAAAAACATGGAATTTATGCCCCTCTCCCTCACAAAGCAAAAAAATTGTATTAGATTGATTCATAATTAATGCACGTTTTCTATACTTCAACTTTCAACCAAGATAATTCTTTTTTGAAAAGACATTTCTGGGCGCAATAAAAACTGCTGTAACCACCAAATCAGTGGCTATAAAACAGATACTTTTGCGTGACTGTATCTACCACAAAAAAGATTTTCTGGCCTGAAGGTTGCCAACATTTTTTTTCAAAAGCTTCCACTTTAAAAGAGCATAACTTATGTTGAAATGAAGTAGGATAAAGCAGACTTCGCTCATCGTGTAGCCAAGAGTCTCTTGAGCAGTAATGCCAAACTTGGATTTTACGGAAAATTTTTGAAAGAAAATATCGCGAAAAACTCGAAAGTACTCACTTTTTTCTAGCATCTCGGCGGAATCAAAAATCGTTCATTTTTGAAATTATTCATTTATCTCCGCTGAAAAGTGAGAAAACCCTAGCGCTTTTTTACCATCAATTGAACTAGGTCTAACCTTGCTGGATAGTGCAATAGACCTGCAATCGCCTTTTGCTTCAAAGTTTTATATGGAACGGAAGGGCCGCGACGATCATTCAAGTTCGCAATCAAATTTCTCGGCTCAGAATTTATGGAGAATTTCATTTAAATAGCATCTTATAGCATTATTTAAATAGCATCTTATAGCACAAAGTTTTCCTATCCTCATGCATATTTTTCAAAATCAATTCGGCTATTCCTCACGGATTCAGGACAAAAAGAGTGAAAAGCAAAAATTCCGTGATTTAGTCTCCCTTATTCGAAGGCTCAGAACTTTGGAAAGAACGGAGATGTACGAAAGCGAAGGCCAACAAAAGAGACTAGAAAAAACGCTCTTTCAGATAGCTTCAAAAGTTTTTGAGTGTATTGATTACTCATTAAATACCAGCTCTTGAAAGAAGAGGTGAGAAAAACGTGCATTAATTATGAATCAACCTAATATTACCAAAGCCGCGTGGACAGCAAAGTGGAAATCGAAATGTCTACAGTCTGTATCAATTACGTACTCCCTTTCGCGTTTTCGCGTTTTCGCGTTAGAACTACGCATGCGCGAGGACCTGCATGCGGTCCTCCAACCGATGGGGTCAATTTAGATGCTCAGGCCACACGCGAGCTGAAGTCCGGTGTGGCGATTGGAAGAGGGAGCACGTGATTGACACAGACTATAATTCGTTTTGTAGACTATTCCGTTGCAAATCTCACGGCTACTGTCATCCAAAAATCTGCAGCAGTTTCACACCGAGTTCCAGATGCGGGGACCGCATACAGACCGGTTCGCAACCGCGCGACCGGACATCAATGGCGGGAAGTGAGAATCTTGGTAACTTTTAGCCCTTCCTCTCTTTAGACCATTTTTCCTTTTTCCCAATTTTTTCTACAACTCTAGGACTTGTACGACCAACACGCCCAGAATCACGAGGATATTACTCGGAAGTCATATTTCGTTCTTCCCCCAAAAAGAGAGAATCAAGAGGGGGAGGGGAGGTGTTGGTGTTTGATGTTTGTCTGACAAACCTCTTGCAAATATTTGGTTGCAACTGAGACCAAAGAGCCAATAGCCAAATATGTTCACACAAACTAACTACTACATAGACAGGGACGACACGGGGCAAACTGACAAACTATAAAAAATGTAAATGAGTGGTCACTCCATGATAGATCTTCTACAATATGTGCCTGCAAATCTTTATCCAACCATCATCACAATTTCACAGTTCAACACTTGATTATCACTCAAAGAGATGCGTTACATATAATAATAGAAATATATGAATAGAAATCTATTCGAGTCGCAATGTAAAAAAAATGGTGCATAGTTATGCATAAGAATAGACCCGGACAAGGAGTGTATATGGGGTGGAAAATCCTAAGTCTCATGGGAATATTATGGAAAACTAGCATTTGAACATGATATGCATCTAATATACAGTTTGACTGTAGAATCTACCACTGAGCGGATAGTTTGTAACAGACCTAGAGCTGACAAAGTTCGAGCAAATTCTAAATACTTGTTCAAAACTAAATTTATTACCAGTTTTTGCCGGCTTCAAGCCCGCTATGTAGGAATATTCATGAAAGAAACTAGCGTATTACTATCGTAAACATCTCCTGGGCATAAAATAGAACGACTAGACTTAAGTACTCGAATCGTAGCTCACAACAATTCAACTCACAACAATCTAGCGAAATATTTGTTATGGCAAGACAAATCATCTCTCCAGAGATTGGATTTACAAAGAATCAGATGCAAAAGATGGATGTTCGACATACAAGCAAGATCTGGGAAAAATCCGCGGGGGAAAAGTCTTGCTTTGGAGAAAAGAAACAAACGAATTTGGAATAAGGTAAGAGAAATTGAGAGCTTCATAAATGTGATGGATCTCAAGCAAAATATGAAAAAATTATGAAAATGTTGAAAGATAAGAAGCGAGACCTTCTCGAGCATGAAGTGTTTCCCAGATGGAACTTGAGGTGTTGACGGTCGGAGGTGAAAAGTAGATGGTAGAAGTACTTGAGAATGATCAATAAGAGATATAAAAAACTTCATCAAAAAACAAAGTCAATCAAATCCTGGACGATGTCTTTACGATAAATAAACTAATTAACGGATCAGTCAGCAGTGTGGACTTAGTCAACTATATACAAGTCAAAATGTTTGAAGCAGTGAAACGAAAATCAAGATAAAAACAATGAAAAGACATTTGAAGAGAAGTAAAATGTAGGGATCGTTTATGAACGAATCCTCAAACCCGAGAATATATGGATGAGACCTCTTTAAAGACGGATAATTGTTCCCTGTTCATTCTGATGGATACTCGCCATTTATGGTCGCTCCCAGAGCTGGAGTGCTTGAACATGATGATCGGACACCCAAAGCTGTCTCCTTCACGAGAGAGTTCAGAGCGAATAGATTTAGCATGTCAATCATTTGCAATGATTCGTTCTTCTTGGCAGCCACCTTCTGAACATATAAAAATATCAATAAAACGATCACATCCAACAATCTTGAAGATACTGACCCGAATTGTTGGGATCCTCAGAAGTATATTCGCATATCGTTCATCAGCCATGGGCGACTTGTAATTTTTTTGAATATGTCTATGCAAAGCTGTAAGTAACTTTTTCTGCTCAGCGGCCACATTGCGTTGACTTGCGGAATCAATTCCTTCCGTGTCTAAATAAGGAATTGCACTAATTGTACGGAAAAAAATGATGAACATGCACTAACACAAAAATAAAAGGCTCAAACTCGTCAAAAATTACACTTTCATTTATCATTTTCCAATAAAAAAAAGATAATTTCTCCGATGAACAAATGGTAAAAAAAGAGGCTACTGAGTGAATGAGGAAAATAAGAACTACAGATAGAGACTCAAAAATGTGAAAAATAATATGTACCGGGATCAAAGAACATGATGGCCTGGAGCGCAGCAAATTCCGTTGTTGAGATGTTCAACTGTCGGAAGGGTTTCATCACGTAGTCAATCATTGCCGCCATTACTGGCGTTAACCCGGATAAACTGAAAGACAGCGCTTTTCCAGCTGCTACCGCATCACGACGTCGTTCTTGCAAGCTCGTCGGTAACCTGGAAATGGTTCAAGAAAATAAAGGTTAATTGGAACATCAAGAGAGCTATTGAACAATTGTAAGCGAAAAAGTGCGAGATGAGAAAAAAAACATTAAGACTCATAAAACAACCAGAAATTTCACTCACCAACCAACAGTAACTCCTTCTGTGATAGCCATTGCTCTGCTTGTTTTCTGACAAGCATTGTGATCTTCAAAAAGTTTACTATCAAAAAAGGTGTGCATTTCCGATCGTCCTTCAATGCCAGGAACAGGGCGGCCATAATCCTAGAGGGCTCCACTTTCAAGAGAAAAAAACGCACAAATCATTGATCATCTATAGACACGAACCTGAGGAATTGATGTTCCATAATCAGCCGGTAAACTCCCATATTCCGTTGGAAGCTGTATCGACTGCGCTTCAGGACTCTCAGCCTTCGGTTCAGTCTTGATTCTGAACAAGTCTAAACTCTTACTGCTCCTGAAATTCAACTATAGAACACCTAAAGAGAAAAATATGTGAAAAACGCGGAAACATGCATTTTCAAAGGATGACTCACAATAATCCTTGCAACTGTTCATTGGTTGCTGAACGGGAAATTACAGCGCTTTCTAGTTTTTTGTCATCGACATGTTCAGGAGTTCGGAACGCTTCACACATGATCATATAAGAACTGGCATGATTAGTGATCAGCGCTACCTAAATTACACAAATCGTGATCATCAAAGTATAGGGTGGAGAAGCAAAGAAAGACGCGGACAACTAGAAAAACGCATTTCTTTCCAGAACTTTCTACATCTGTCAAAACTCTGTCCATCTCAGCTTGCACTTTGAGAGCATATATTTTGTTAGTCAACACGCTCTCAGCATGACTTTTCCTTTTTTTATATCAATCCGTCACATTCAATAACTACCTTCCCTGGAGACAAATATTTTTTCAAGACACTTCTGCGCTGTGATGTAACAGCCCTTTAACAACACTGATCATGTCTAAGTCTACCTTTTCGCAATTTCCAAGGTATAATTAGTCTACATAAGATGCAAAATGTACATGACAATTTGTCGTAAGACCAAATCGTCGACTGTGATTGCCGATTAGCACATCATTCTTCGAAAAGCCACTCACTAACAAAGATTGATGATGAAAAAAGCAAAGATTGAGAAAATATATATTTGAAAAGTTATTGAGTTATAGTTATAAGCAAGACATCTGAAAAACTTTCGTAACTATATTTGCAACAAAAACAAAAAATCAATCAAATCACCTTGTCAGCATGGGGAAGATTCCTAAAACACGCAAATGATTTTGCCCAGTCAATATATAGCGCAATGATCCGTGATCTCCAAAAAGGCATTTTATTCTCATCCATGCCCGGCTTTGGCGAGGCAATTGGGTCGGTAATCTGTAAAGATAGAGATGCTCATGATTGGCATGAAAATCTAGCGATTACACGATTAATCGTTGACTAATTCGACTTACTCTGACACTAATGGGTTGATGGAAACGACTTGGCGCTGCTAATGCGTCATCTAGCGATGCATACGGCTCAATTTCAGCACGACTTAACAGCAACGTCAAGTTATTCTCCAATGTCGTCAATCGCTCAAGCATGGGATCAACATTATTCTATAAGAAAGAAAAATGGCATTACATGACAAAACAACATAGCAAGAATATCCACTTACGTTCTCATGCTTGTGCTGATTTGAGTCCAAGCAACTCGGACCAAGCAGGTCTTCATGGTCATGAAACGAATCAGGCGAAGAAGCATGCCGGCTGCTGAAAACATTGTCATCAAAGTCTCTTCTTACAGAAGATGAACATAGAAATACAAAACCTTCCAATTTTTCTCTAGTCCGAAAAAAATTTTGTGCTAAAAAAGAACATTGAACATAAACAGGCAAGTCTCAGCAAAAAAAAAAATTACTGATGTGGCAAAACATTCCTGGATTCCAGATACATCTCAAAGAAAAAGTATAAGCAAATTCAACGGTACTTGAATATGTCATTGCCGAAGTGATGTGACGAGATTTTTTCATGACAATTCCAATCTCTTACCTTCCCATCACAAAACAGATTACCTTTAACTATACATCTGCTAGATTCCGCCAATTACTTCCATAAATTTTCCCACCTAACAATCCCTGATCTGCCATGAGGCCTTTCTTATATAATACCCCAGCTGTCCTATGAAAGAAGCACTTCACGCTAAGCGAAGTCGAAAGGAGATTATAATCATGAAACCACCAAACATCTCGCACTCGAATTAAGCGAGCATAAAGCAGCGTCATAGAACATGCATGTGAAATAAAAAGCAGGGCATTTGTAGGCTTTGTGCGCAATCGATAAACGGCAGCGTCTGCGAATTCCAGGAAGCATATAAAATGCAAAAAATTGTTTCGCTGTATAAAGCTGCGATATGCAAGAATAGAAAGCTATAGCATCTGAACCCTCCAGAAACATGTTCTAGGACGTTTAGCAATCAGCAAGCAAAATTCAAAAAAAGTTATGAGTTTATCTTATCGCCGCATAAGGTAGGTCTTGAAATTAGCGAACTTCGAGTAACTGTTACCACATCTACTTACATCCCCAGCCACTTCCATCTAACGCTTCGGCTTCTCTTTTTTCTCCCTCTAGCAGCAAACAAAACTACAATGACCTTCCCCTATGAACGACAATCATCGAACAACGAACTCGTTGTTAATCGATCAACTGTGCGTGCGTCTTAGCAAAGATCTATCCGGACAACATTGGTCTCTGATGTTTGGCGAACGCGCGTGTGATTTGCACGAGGATCGATTACAGAAGTGCACGCAGATCTTTCAACAGACCGAGATTGTGAGAAAAAAATAATCAAAAATTGCCCGATGTGAAAAAAGGTTCAACAATCATAAAAGTGGAGAAAGGTGTGAAAGATGGAAAAAAAAACAGACGCGAAGAACTGTAATAAATGAGAAGAGATAGAAACTCAAGACAACATACTCGTTATTCTCGTTGGTACCATCCGAGTTCTTGTCGCACTTTCGTGTTCTTTTGGTATACCCGATACGATCCCTATCATTTTGTATGGCTAAAAAATAGACTTTTAAGCAAAAAAAAACCAAATCATCTATGTATAGAAAATGAAAGTCCATACATTTCTTATCCATCCCGACAAGAAGACACTTTTTGAGGCGACAATGACGACAAGCACATCGCACACCTAGAAAACAATGGAAGAATAAGAGGAATGATTGATGACATGCAATCATGCATGCCTCAACATTGGAGGAAAGACGATGAAAAAGCGTGAATTGATGGAGTGCAGAAGCATCTTATAAAAAAGTAAAGGATCTAGGAAAAAGATAGCATCACGTCTGGTGAAAGTAGCAATAACACCAATAATGAAGAGTTCAAAAAGTTAAAAAAGAAGTTGCTCGCCTTTATTAACGGGGCAGTCGCCGTTACCCATGCAGGTGAACATCCTGTTGTTCTAAAAAAACTTATGTAAAATTAGCTGAACATGTGAGATGCACTTTAGATCAAGACCAGTTTCCAAATCTCTCTAATTAGCTATATTTGGGCTCAATTGACAAAAACAACAATACAGATAAGTTTACTCACCACAACAGCCCGTCGAAAAAATGTTTTACATCCATTACATGATGGAACAGAATAATGATTACCAGTAGCGATATCCTCACAAACTACACATAATGTTCCTGAAAGCGTTAAAAGCATTTTAATACTCATGAAGTACACAGTATAGATAATGAATACTCCACATGAAAAAACATCATATAAGTAACAAAGATTCAAAAGCCCAAATAAGACAAAACTAACCTGGAGGAAGTTTTTCAGTCATTCTCTACCGTAAATGAAATTCCATTAAGAAAGACGAGTGGCAATCACTGACGAGAGGTCTGAAATAGCTGAATAAACTTGTCAAATGATATGAAACGATGCCAAACAGAATCGTATCGGTTAAAAAAGTACTAAAACCGGGAGAGATACTAAACAGAACTAATTCGGACACAAAAAATAGATCTGCTCATGGAAAAATTGAGCCCACCAAGCTGCACCAAATTTCCCAATAAACAGGGAAAATTCAAGAAAGATCGAGAATTATGAATCAAGACCAAGGTATCTCCAAGCTCTACTATAAATACGACGTTTGGTTTCGGCTTCCGAATCGCTCTAACTGGAGAAAAAGCTGTTTCCGCAAAAGCTAATCGACTAGCGTCAAAGCTGGATAATCTCTATCCGAAGCGAATTGATTCAGCAGTACGGAGAAAGAGACCATGAGAGTTATGAATCAAAAAAATGATCACGATGGACCTAGTCAAGCAAACTGATGCAAAAACATCCTTCGTTATTCGAAAATATTCGATGAATGAAAAAGAGACTCTAAGTAAAAAATCCGCGCAGAAAAAAATAAAAGTTCAAAGAGTTCAAGAGATTCTGTTAGCAAACCTTATTGCTTCACAGTAAATCTTACAACAGTTGCTGAGTACTGCATAACAATAGCATAGTGCTCACAAACACTGCACTGTCCTTCAGAGAGTGAGTGCGATAGCTGATGACATAAAGACAGCGCGCATTGTCACATGACGTGGATAACGATAATATATACGAAAACCGCCGTATGATCAGAGTTCACCGTTCATACTATCTTGCAAACAATTATTTACGCAACAGAATGAGCGAGGAGATAGAAAAACAAACAAAATTCTGACCGATACACTAGTTCCTATATATGGCGACTGAGGAGTTTTGCAACCAATTTTATAATTTCTCTATCTGGTGGTGCACTCGTTCTCTGGCATTATATAGACTGTGATCTAAGCTACTATCATCGGCTCCAGATTTGTGTGAAGGCGGTTGCGGGCTTCCCTGATTTTCAGGATAAATTGTTAAAGCTTCACGTTCTAGAATTGTATTTGGTTCTCTCTCGTTAAGCTCTCATCCTTAAAATTAGGGAAGTCCGCAATCCGCCTCCATACGAATCTGGGAGACAATCATAACAAACTGTTTGCTTTTTGGTAAGATTAAAACAATTTACGTATTTTCTGAAATTGGTTAAATTCACGACTTTCTGGGTGAAAAGTAAAAACGAGGCATATTGCAGTCTGAAACAAACATCAAACCATATATACAAAAACTCTTCAAAATCTAGCAACAATTAATGTGCATTTTTAGCTCGACCTGCTTGATTTAGGTTGCTAACGACTTCATCTTGTTTACCTACTAAGACGGCAAAACTGGCCAATTTTCGGAAAATGCATGAATGTTTGCTACTTTTATCAAAATGCAATTATTCTGCGCCACATTCAAAAAGTTGTAAAATTAATAGCAATATAGGTAATGATCCGGAACAATTTCCGAAAAACTTGTTTCTTGTGCATGTTTATCCTGGATTGAATTTGGCTCAAGGATTTAGCATATTTATATGAACAGTGGCCTCATCAACTCCTTACCCAACCTCAAAAGATAAAGGAAAAATTATATCCAATATGGCAAACATCTAATTCTGTGACATGGAAAAGTTCAACCCACTGGCTTTTGACGTAAACGTCTGCGCGATAACATACAATTCCTCGGCTGCGAACTTTTGTTTGTTTTTCTTGGGTATGAGAAGAAAGTGCATTCTTTTCTCAGTCAAGTGAATCAAACAGTTCTTGTTACCACATGTATTTCGCTAAACAATTTGGTAGAAAGGGACTTGACAAATCAATCAGGAAGTTGAAAAAAAATTTTACACGAAGATGGTTTTAGGATATAGAAAATTAGATTACCGAGTTAAAGCTTAGAGAATCAGGTTGTAACAAAGATTTTCCTAATATTCAAAGATCCTATGGGATTTCTACCGGAAACTAAAGATCCAAATAAGAGAACCTTCAAATAACCTCCAAAATAGAGTATTAAAAAAACAAAGAAAAACTTTTTAAAAGAGAAAAAGTTGCACGAAAAGAAAAGGTAAGAGAAAAGCGAGAAAACCACAAAAACTCTCACAACATAAGCGCATGGACGTTGTTTCATTGCGGACATAATCTCTCGCCGTCAAACACACTCTCGGCACTCTCCACGAACTATCTTACCAGGCGCAGCGAAGTCTCTTTTATGTGAAAAAATTATTCATCCAATTCACCTCACATAAAAAAGAGAATATATGACTTTCCGTTTCGTCCTTTCCATTAAACGGATTTTTGTTTCCAAACCCTCTCTGGGACTTCAGTGAGAAAAAAGAGTCTATATCAACTTGGATAAAGTTCTTAGCCTACTTTTTAACAGTTTTATGCCGTAAAGTACCAAGGGCGAGATTATCGTCGAAGAAAGTGCATTAGATTATTAAAGACACCACAGATCATTAATCGATCATGCCAGAGCAGTATTCGAACCTACGAACACAGAGAACAGATAAGCGAACCACATAGATCGCAGCTGGGGCACTTTGGGCGTGTTGAGAGCGAAAGGGGCGGGTGCGGAGACGTGCCGATGAGGACGGAACTCGAGCGCGAAGCCACCACGGAGGCAGCGACGGGCGCTTAGTGACCGTGAGAGAAATCGCCGACGCGTCTCGTCTGCTGCACTCGAACAGAGATATAAAACAGCCAATTATGAGTACATAACGTTAACTATGCACTGTCTGGCCAATGTGCACTAAATGCGGAAAAATCGAACAAAAGTCGTGCAAAATTTATGATTCCGTAAAGCGCTCAAATGTCAATACTTTGCATGAACAATCGCACATATATAATCGGAACTATTTTGTGCATTAAACGAGATGAACAATGATCAGCAAATGCTTCACCGCAAACGACACGCACGATATCGGCTGACGTGTCGTTTTTTCTCACACGAATCGCTAGGCGCGCTTACGCGTTCTTTGGTAACGCCCAAGCTTTCAAGCATCAGTGATCCGAGAAAGTGCACACACAAAGTACGAACAATGCCGCGAATTGCAAAAGTACTGCACATGTTGCCAAGGCGCTCTCCAAGCTCAAAGGGATGTTCTGTTTAGTCACAAGTGGCAGGATTTAATGGTGAGAGTTATTACTAAAAAAAAAGATAAAAAATGCACCATCTGGCCCATCAAGTTATAGACTTAGGCACAAGCCAGGCTAAATGACGGTGAACAACCGCCAAAAAGGTCAATTTCCTTTTTAGAAGCTCAATAGATGCATATCATTTTCACCCGTAATTATGTGGCTGACTTTGAAACCCGGAAATACGCATAAAAATCAACTGCAGCATTGCCTATTCTTTTTCACCTCAGCCTAATCATTCCTAAACATAAGGTCAGTGTCCCAGCGTCCCTCCCATAAACTCCACCGCTTCGCATGCCTCTCGCGCCTTTGCGCTGCCTTTGGCGTGCCTTTTTCAGGGCAACCTTGGTTCTTCCTGTGCCAACCCGTCGGAGGCAGCAAATGGGCAGCGTTGCGGCCGTATCAAAGGGAAAAATTCAAGAGACAAACTGAATTCTAGACCGGACAGAATCGTACTATGTCGGTAACAGAAGCACCGCAAGATCCAGAAGAACTTGAGAAAAGTAGTTTATACTAGGAATAAAGTATGTGTTGCATATAAAAGCTGCTATATCATTCAAACACCCCCTCCCCCCCCCCCCCCCCACCTGCCATCTTCAGCGCACCTCGCACACCTAAATGATGGCCATGAGCCAAATGCTTACATTATCAAACATATATCTCTAAACAAATAATGAAGAGCGCAGTTTGCAGGCATTCTGCACCATAGACCATCGCCATTTCAAGGATAAAAGCTTTGGATTCCGCCTACCAGAACAGAACGGCAACTATAAACAAAACTGTTACCCATAGCTTGCAGCACTCTTTACCCTAGCAAGGAATTAACAAAATAGCTCAGCTGTGGATTGACGACATGTTCCAAGCACAAGAATGGAGGTAATTAGTCCATAAAATCCCCCTTCCCCCCGCCCCTCTACACAACGCTTCATGGAATCCATTTGCAACATCAATGTTCTACTGATAGAGCTTGCAGACAGTTTTTATCCAACCTATTGCCTCAATAAACCTCAGCAGCTCTAATACTAAAGGTTTGCATCTCATTATCACATTATTCATTTACGCAAGGGCATTTGACTGAAATTACGATCTGGCAGGGCCCTTAGAGGATGATGAAACGGGCGAGATTCGACTTAAGTTGTTACGCTATTATGGACCAAAATTAACAAGTTATAAAAGGGTTAATTATTTTGAAAATTGTGAGAGGAACAGCTCTACGGCCTAATGCATCCAGTGACAAGGGAATGTAGCAAGAAATAGTTATCAAAAACCGCAAAAAAACCCAAGATTTTGACGTCATAGCTATGCTTAACATTTCTCGATGAAGCTCATTTCGTGGAATAGGAAATTCAAAGGGCAAACTCTCGGAGATCACGATAAACACCTGTCTTCCTAATAAAGCAATTAATGGGAAAGCGCTCGAATCTCTTCAAGAATTCTGACATGTTCTAGTGACGACAGAGTGACTGTTATCTCTGAACATTCAAAGATATAAAATGTGATGAGCAATGCTATTCCAAAAGTCAGAAAACTTTTAAAAAATTGTTTCGCTATTCCTCCCAGCTGGCGTAACTGGGCTACGAGCTATGTTGAAAAGAGGCATACACAACCAGGCTTTTGTCGGCTTTTTTAGACTTGGCTTTTTTCTATTTTTTGTAATGAAATGTAAGAAATGAAAAGGAGAAATAAAGTCTGTGACACTGCAAAATCCCGGTATTTCCAACAAAAACGTTTCTGCAACTGATTGGGCAAGAACGAGATCGAAATCGCGATTTTCACAAAAGCTAAGAAAGGAGCGGGTTAACAACAGACCACCAAACAATCTTTTTTAAAATTTCCAACCATTTGCTATCTTTTATGGGAACTGGCACGATGTCAAAACGGTACAACAAAGCAGATTTGAAAAATGAGCGAAAAGTTGTGAAAGTATTTTTGATGAAAGCCCATTTCAATTCTTCAGAACTACACAATAAAGCATTCCAAAAGATGAGTATGCAAGAATTTATGGGCATGAATAGGTAAAAGACCAGTACTGCACATGTTTCATGTGCACTCGTTCGCTACTAGATACAAACCCACAGTGCACATGTCGTATGATGTTTTCAACTCGCACACAATCGATCGATCCTATTACCCACATCTTATATCAACAAGTTTTTTTTTCGGGTAAGTCCAAATTACTTACATTCAACAAATTCTATACATACACTGTTCAGTCCCAATTATATACTGAACCTCAAAAAGTAGCAATAGGTAGTGTTATAAGTGCTCACTGATCATCCAATACATGAAAAGTAGAAAATACGGCAAGGTTTGTAGCGCCTATGAGTTGTGAGCCATCTATATAGTCTCACACAACTCAAAGACATCAGAACCGCGCCGCATTGGGCCGCCGATGCGTTATCTGCGTTGTTGAACCGACCAAGTCCGAACCAAATTAATGTGATATTAAGCAGCCAAGACTAGGAAGGTAGTCAAGATTATTCGCAACCATATGAAAAACTAGTATGCGGTTACAATTTCACGGCTCATTTATTACATGGACCATAAACCGACAAGATGCAAAAAAGACGACAAGCGAATTAATACGATGAATCATTCAGGAATTCTTGATCAGCATCTTCAAAATTTTACGGTCACGCGAAACCTAAGATGTCAGCTCTTACGAATTGTGATACATGCAGCAAGATGAGCAAGGCAAGAAGAAGAATAAGCCAAATTAGTAATCACTGAATTGATTCAAACACTTTATACTCACCGGTCATCAGCGCTCAAGAATGATTCACACTTGGAAGACATTAGGAAATATAATATTTGCTAGAAGCTCGTATTCACGCAAGAAAATGATTAACAAGTCTTTTTTAGTTGCTTCTTTCACACAAAGATATTAAGCATGACAAGACATTTTGCGAAAATCACATGCTGCACGTGTTCTGCATTTTGCAGAGCTATGATACAAAATCTATAGCTATTGATAAGGATACATGTGCCAAAGAGAACATGAAGTTGCAGAGGATTATGTAGAAGAGTGCAAATAAGAGACCATAGAGCGCTGAATTTCATCAAAAAAGAAGTGGCTTTTCCAAAGTTACAGAAAAACACAAGGCATTTAATATCTCGATCAAAATGAAACAGATTAGCGTTTTTTGAACTATGACGTAGTGTGCTTTGCATCTGCATTGCGTGTCGTTATGGTGACGATCAGAAAAGCTGAGATGCTGCATACTTGCACACTTGCTTCAAATTTGCGATTTTACGCGTAAAAAGACCCATTTTAGTGTAGGTGAAAAGATAGATGCTGTAAAACAAGTCACTGCCCGACAGCCGCTTTTCATATCATTCATCTGAAATCAACAAATTCAGTTCTCGCCCAGTACCGTACTCTTCCCGATCAATGTCCACGAGTACGGTATTGGGCGAGAGTCTAGACATGAATTTCTCGGCCAAAAATGGATTATATGAGCTACTGCTTGGGATACGGTTGAGATATTTACCAAAAATTCAAATAACAGTCACACACATCCAAATCAGATTTGCCTAGACGGTGGCACTAATATGGGCAACGAGGGAAGTTGAAGCAGTACTAAGTTCTGACAAAGACAATACGAGATGCAGACATAATAAGGAAAAAGACTTGGCAAGACTGGGAGAAGTGCAAGTGTGAGAACCTCAAGAAACCTATCTAGTTACCCGAAGCATGTTTAGGTTTCTGCAAGAATGAGCGTAGTTGTAGATCATTACATTGCAAAACTAGCAAATCTCAATAACCGACATCGCCAAATTACCCTTCGCCGAAGCGGGTTTGGAAATTTTCACCTATGACGCATCAATGCGTTGCAGGTGCTACCAGAGTTACCCGAGTAAGGTAATGCATGCAGCATATGATGTCATTCCATATGCATTCCCAGGTGCTAGCTACAATCATACAACATTCATTCTTTACAGCTGCTGAATTAACAAGCTTTTACAGCATGATTATACGGGGATTCACTACACTACAAAGCTCACTACATAGCACAGCGGGATTTACACACAATGAAGTAAACGCTAAGCCAATGATTGTAAGATAGAGAAGGTAAGACTGTATAGAATGCAGCTGCCAAATCCGAATGATAGCACTACACTCAAACTTCCATTGTATTGCCTAAATCTGAAAATGCAAGCAGAATCGTTCACAAAACTAGGCAAATGGCCTTGGTTTTTTTTTTTGAAGAGTAGTTTGAACTCTGAATTCAGACAGCAAACGAAGATCCGAAGTTGCAAACAAAGCTGAGAGATGCGTCAAAACAGTCCTAGAGATTAGCTATACCAAATAGAAGAATTGTCAATCAGAAGTCTGATTTCGATAAAACAGAGCAAGATGAGGACATTTTGTTACTTTTGTACGCTAGAAGTGTGAGCAACTTATGTAGGTACCAATCACTTTAATGATGAGAAGAAACTCTTAAGCTATTTCCAAAAATAACAAATCTGATGACGCTTTGCTGAAGCCGATGTTCTCAGTAAAGCCCTAAAGCCTTAGGTTTACGAGACATCAAAGATGGATAGACCACAGCGATAAATTTGAACTTTTGGTTAGGGATAAATATCTTAGAGAACACGGAAATTCTAAATCATTAATCTACAAAGAGATACAGGTTACAGTGGTAAGAATGACTCTGATCAACAGTAACAGGCGTGGCAATTTTGAAAGTTTGCACGAAATTGTTCATTGAAATGGGAGAAGATGCGTTCAGAGAACAGATAATACCCACATAACACCAGAAAAGAGCAAAGACAATGACGAAGTAAAGTAGTAAGACTACTTTTCTCTACTCTCGAAAAAACACTCGAAGATTGAAAATCTCTGAGCAAAGCTAAAAATAAATCCTTCAAATACTTTCAATAGAGAAAGATGAAACTTGCTAAAAAAAGCATCATAACCACAGAAAGAAAGTTTGCGAGACGTTGAAAAAATCTCTCAAAACACGGATATAAAAAAAGTACAAAAAATATGGGATTTTGAATGTCAATGACATCTAACACTGGATTGAAGTAAGTAAAGTCACGAAGTAAAGGACACTCATGGAAAAGTAGGCCAACATTCGAATAAGGAAGTATACAGGAAGGGGAAAAGAGACGTTCTAATCAGAAAGAATTGTAGTCAATTATGCAGAGAGATACGATATGAATCTCCTGTTGAACCAGTCACGAAAACTTTATATTCGTCGTAAAGCTTCAGAATTCATGCTTGTAGAAAAACCCCAGTCCTGAGAAAAAATCGTAAAATTCAATATAATGTTAACTTTTCCCTAGTTTGCAGGTGTAAGACGATACATGGGACACACCAAGAGGAAAGAAGCGATGAGATATGGTAGCGACTAGAAATAACTTTCAAAAGCTCAACAAGTAATACCCAATAACATTATCGAACAAAACAGTAGAAAAAACCACGTTATAAACTACGATTGTATTACGAGAATCTGAGTCAATAGCTGAATTATCGCAAAAGGCGTAAAACATGAGAAAGTTTTGATGCTTAGGATACGAATTTTCAAAGAGAAATTCGCCAAAAATAGCAAAGTTTTAATTGGAAACGACGATAAAAGAGTGATGCACACGCAGACGGACACACACACAGCCGTCGTCGCCATGAGGCGGTGTGTGCAATCGATTCGACGACGCTTCTATACGCCAAGTTTGAGATGAAGTGCGCTCTCACAATGAAAGTAGATCATTGAAACTCTTTCATGAATACTTTCATGCATACACATTCCTACGCTGAGTGACTCGAGAATTCTACGCTGTCGTCTAGAAAGCTTGGATTTCTTCTCTCTTTGAAACCCAGCCGTAAACCATTTGATATGAGGTAGTGCAAAAGTTTGAGTTGTTGATAAATGCGTGCACATTTCTTGAGCCCTGCTCGGAACATGGATGACCGTCGAGTGTAACTGTACGAGAAAGAAATTAGCATGAAGACTTCCTCCCTATAGGCCTCGGGCAGAGTTCGCGCGATTTCATCGTCGCGTTCTTCCAACAAGACAAACAATTACGAGTCCATTGCATTCCGATCATCTTGCATTTGGGTTGTGATAGTTAGTCACCACTGGTCGTGTTGGAGAACTATCCCAACCAAAATGCAAAATGATCGGGATGTAACAGACTCGTAACTTTTGTTTTGGAAGAATCGGATGAAATCGCGTGCTCTGCCTGAGCCCATAGGGCGTTCATAAATCGTGACAATAGCTGCGGCCGGCGGCGGGCGTTGCGTACGCAGCCTCGGCGAGCGCATTTTTTTGGCTTTCATTCTCATTATTAAATTACTAAAAGTAATTGACAATCAGCTAAAAATTAATGTGATGCATTTGTTTGAGAGTTTTAGCTCTGTAACGTTTAGATGGGCGCAAAGCCGCGGGCGAATTCGTCACGATTTTATGAACCCTCTATATTGAACTTTACTGAAAGAACCCAGAAAGAAGCATTTGGAGAGCAACACTTTGGTAAAATAAGCATTATTTCCTCAGAAATCAACATTCGTACTGCATCTTACAGCATTTTAAAATAAACGTAAAAAGAACTCGATAACTTGCACGTCAAAGGAACTAAGTGTTTTGAAATAAAAGATCAAGTGAACAGAAGGTTACGAATACAAAAAACTGGTTTGAGAGTCGTTGCAGACAACGGTCGTGCAAAAATCAGAAAATACTTTTGTCGCTTACCTTTACTGCCTGGCTGAGATCAAAGAGCTTCGAAATCGACAAACTGCTCGTCTTAAGCCTCTGAGTTGTTGCGTGGGAAAATAGTTGCCGCAGTGGCAGCAATGTAGTCCCACATAATATCTGAACTGTAACAGCTAATTCAACTATATCGCTTGAGCTGCGGCTATACTTCTACCATGATTCGGACTCGACTTAGGGCTCGCTAAACCGCGCGCGCGTATGAGTCAAGAGCGACCAAAGTCTTATAAAATTGGCGTAAGTCACAGCATATTGCAGGTAGGTCTAGCTAACGAGCGCAAGTTAGAGTCAAACGCCACCAAAATCTTATAAATCTTGCACAAGTCATAGCATTCTTACAGTCCCAAAATCGCCTACAAGTTATACTTTGTAACTTTTATACCCACTAAAAGTCCTGCTCCATGGTTTTGCGAGCCGGGTGAGATCCAGATCGTAGGACAAGCATTTCCAAAGCTTCGTCAGTCATGATCTCAACGCATAAAACTTGTCCGCACCTACTATGGCTTGATTATGTACGGCGTGAGAAGTACAAACCCCATCCTGCGCAAGTCTGAAACGCGACGTACACAAATAACAGCTGTACACAGCTTTTGCACATCAATACGATATACAAGCATAAAAGCGTGATAGAAACAACCAATGTAGAAAAAGCACAAACCTTAAAGGCAGCGCCCATACAAAGGACCAATCGGATTTCACGCGGAAAGTAATTTTGGGCCGTAACTAAGGCACGGCCCAAGCGGCAGCGCAGATGACCTCACTAACGGCTGAGATGTATGCCTCCAAACTGTAACCCAGGACCGCCGTCGGACAACTTGCATCGTGTATGCATGCTTTCGCGCGAGGACCCACGAGAAAATGTTGTCTGAATTCATGTATCCATACGAAAAACGATCCTGGAGTCTAGTTTGAGGCGAATATCTCAGATTAGAACACATCTGAGCTACCGGTTGGGCAGTGTCTTAGTTAAGGTCCCGAAATTACTGTCCACGTGAGATCCCCATATCTCCTGATTTGCTTGGGCGCTACTTCTAAGTGTAAATGGTCCCACCACGCAACAGCATGCTGTGATCAACACAGCCTAACGGTTTGACTGTAAAATCCCACCGCTGGCCTGGCCTGCACCCCTGCGCCACGTCGCGAGTCGTGTCCGACCATGTTGGTACGGCAAAACGACCAGAGGGCCCGCATCACACGTTAGAACGTGTAAACATGGTAGAACTAAGTTTGGGAACGGCCATAGGTTGTCGGTGTTGTCGGTGTTGTCGATGTTGTCGGTGTTGTCGGGGTTGCCGAGGTTGCCGGTCGTTGTAGGACCTCATGATGGCCTCCAGGTTTCGCGCGCTCTCTAAACTGTCTCTGACCCCGACAAATTCGACAACACCGACAACATCGACAACACCGACAACACCGACAACCTATGGCCTTTGCACCCTTGCCTCGCACTATCTTGTCCAGGCCCTTGCTGGCCGCAACGTATTCGTCTAGTGTGGAAAAAAATGCTGGAGGGCGGTGGGGGTCTCTTTTGCGCGAATTTCAAGTTGCGTAGAAGAGCGGCGCAGCCGAGTATTTCAGATCTCGCAAATTCAAATGCACTCGACATCGCTGCAGATTTCTTGTGCAGAAGTTTTTCTAAGCTTTCCTGCTTCCGTTTGGTAATTTCCTTCGTTTCATAAAAGAAAGGGCCTCACGCAGAAAAAAAATGCTCATGTGCTCCTAAACCGCTCCAATAGTTTCTTTTTCATCCTCAAGTCTCTTTCGCGCTAGTGAAAGGTGGTTGTGCTATGGCAAGTTCACTTATTGTGAGCATCAAGGTAGTCTCTATTTACTACTTTCGGGCTTTGTGCGTTTGGATCGCGCAATGTCCGCAATATAGTACATTGGGCCGCACTGCGGAAACTTTGCCTTGCATAAATCTGGAAGCGGCTCAACGAAAGCGATAAAAAGTTTATGTTGTGGGACTCTTGACATGCATTTTTTGGCTGCAGAACCTCACATCTGTAGTTCCCAACACATAGAAACTTCTTTTTCAAAAGATTTCTAACTTAGTAAGTTTTCGAATCAAATCCTAGCTCACTGCTAACAACCTCACGAATTTCGTAATGAAACAACTTTCTTCCTCACGAGCCTACTGTAGCTGGAAAGTGCTGCAACCGCGGAATCAGTCGTGTCAGCTGACGCAAAGTTCGTTTGACGCATACATTGCATCTGAAATTTCGAGAACCGCCTCGACCTGAACTGGATGATTTTTGCATGGCAACGTCATGGTCATGAATCAATCCGCGCTTTGCTGCTGTTTGCATCGTCGTGTCTTTCTGGATTTTCCTCATCCGTCTGTAAACATACATTTGCCATTAAGGGGCAAAGATGTTCTTCCATACTATGGGTGGCATGGGAGGTATGGGCAGAGGACAAGAAGGTCCTGTTGACACTCGCCTTTATGATCTTCTCAAAGTGAAACCAGATGCTAGCGAGGATGAAATTAAAAAGGTTCGTCCTGGATCTATGCTTTTTGAGTTAAGCTTGTCACATGTTTGAAGCAATCGATACTCAGCTTTCGGCAAAATTGATTCGCTTTCCATTTTAAGCTTCCTCTCCATTGTTTCGATTTGCCATAATTCTGTCATGTTAATTTCGAAATCGCGGCGCACTATTTCAGATTTCTAGTGGTGAACAATTCGCTTTGAATTTTACCAACTATCGATTAATTACGACACCTTTAACCTTCTTAACCGCTAAAGAGATGTTTGCCAGCATTAATCTCAGCAGTACTGCGCAGAGAAACCTAACGACTATATGTCTTTAAATTGTTTTTCTTTGATACGCATCTGAGATATACTATGTTGTGACTGGCATGTTGCTTGAGTCGATTTCTAATATAGAAATGCATTGCTTAATGTTTCAGTCATATCGCAGGCTAGCTAAAGAGTACCATCCTGACAAAAATCCGGAACATGGAGACCAAGTACGTAAAACTATTACTCATTTGAAAAATCATCACGATTCGTTTTGCAGTTCAAAGAAATCAGTTTTGCTTATGAAATTCTATCAAACCCTGAACGACGTCGTCTATACGATATGCGTGGCATGGACGGTATCAAGGAAGGTGGAGGCGGTGGAGGTAAATAAACCTTCGTTCAGCCCTTTCCAAGCGTCTATTCTACTTCTTTTGCATTCTGTGCATTGATTCATAGTTCTAGGTACCTTGACCTCATTTTCCTCATTGATGAAATGATAAATTGACACGGAATGAGTAGAAACCAAGCGGCCAATTCCAAAATCTACATACCATTCGGTGGTGCAGAATGAAACGCTGATGCTGGACTGTTTTTTTTTCTATTTACTGAACGACTTTGCAGGCGAAGTTATGAGCAATTTTATTGTAGACAATGTGTAAACACAATGCAATTTTTGTTATGTAGGTGCATCTGAAGCTCAGTTTTTAACGTGAACTCTAGAGGAACAGGAAGAAGTAAGTGAAGTTCACTAACTTAGCCAAATCAACATCTGTGTCCAAATGCTCGCATACACATCTTCTTCACGATGAAACAGCTCATAATTTTCTGCAAAGCCGTTTAGCAAACAGGAAAGGCAGTTTTGAGACTAGCAATTTATGCTGCTTAGATTTGATGCAGTTCTTTGGAAGCGCCTTGACTTCTGATCATCTCCTTGTGGTCGAGGTACTTGGTTTTGTGAACAAACACATTGTTTCTTTCAACGCTTATATCCACATTTAAGTAAATGAATTTTAGGCGGTTTTGGCGCTGACCTCTTCACTCAGATCTTCGGAGATGACGATGATTCACCGTTCGGCAGCTTCTTCGGCATGGGTGGCGGTGGAAGACGGTAATAAAATCGATCATTTATAGCAGTCGCTAGTTGTACATTCCGTTTCTTCCAGCAGGGCTCGCCGGAAATTCCAAGACACGGTGTATCCGTTGAATGTCACTCTTGAGGAAGTATATAATGGAAAGACAGCTAAATTGCGATTATCCAAGAAAGCGCTATGTACAAAGTGTAAAGGGTGAGTCCGTATTTTCTAAGAACGTGAGACCGTTGCTGTACCATCGGTGAGCGGGTTTGTTGGAGGTTGGTATGTTGAAGGCTTCTTTTGTATTCTAGGAATTATTTGTGTAAGTAGATCTCGCAGTCTTTTCAAGCTTTGACAATCAATGTTTCAGAAGTGGCGGAAAAACTGGTCAGTCATACGAGTGTCATTCTTGCCGTGGCCGTGGAGTCAAGAATGTTGTGCAACAAATTGGTCCAGGAATGATCCAACAGATGCAGGTCAGATGCCCTGATTGCCGCGGCGAAGGTTTGTATCAACTTTTGAATTGTAATGTAGAAGTATTGGGGATGAGGATTATGTAATCGGAATGTCGCTTGGTATATTCATAACGAAATCGCTCAAGATTGAAAGTACTGTCAATTGTTTGTTTGTAGGTACTAGAATCCCAGAGTCCGACCGATGCTCTCACTGTAAAGGAGAGAAAAGCGAGGAAGTAAAGAAGATACTTGAGGTATTGAGCGGCGCAAGTGGTTCAACTTGTATTATTATTTTTATCGACTTGTACCTAGGTTCACGTAGAACCAGGAATGAAGCACAATGACAAGGTCACATTCCCTCGCGAAGGAGATCAGTCTGACGTGAGTGTTATTATGCTTTCGAAGAAATTCTTCTCTTGTATCAGCTTTTCTCACAAACTCGTCCACGGTTTATCTTCCCCGTTTCAGCCAGACATTGAACCGGGTGATGTTGTTATTGTAATACAAGTGAAACCACATGACGTGTTTGAGAGGGAGGGCGATGATCTCATTGCGAAAAAGTGAGTTTGTTAAATGTTCGCAGAATAAATACTTTTGTCATATATTTATTTGGCGTTTTATTGAAAAACTTTCTAGAACTATATCCTTGAACGAAGCTCTATGCGGGTATGAAATTCCATTGAAACATCTTGATGGCCGTACTTTAATTTTGAAAAATAAGCCAGGAGACATCATAACCCCAGGTATGTAATTTGTTCTAGATAGAAATTCATGGTGTTACGAGCATAGTCCAAGCCATGTTTTCCCTTTTTTCAGATTGTATTCGTGGTATTATCGGTGAAGGCATGCCGCAAAGGCGACATCATGATCTTCGTGGAAACCTTTATGTAAAATTCGATGTAGCCTTCCCGAATGATCACTTTTTGGAAGACGACACGAAATACAAAGTTTGTCTTCAGACTCGATTCAGCATTTCGAGTGTTGCTTGTGTCTCTGATAATGTTTTTAGATGATCGAAACCGCATTCCCACCAGTCAGAAAAGTTGCATATCCGTCGAATTGTGAAGAGGTAAGTGCTTTTTAAGGTTCTGTATGATCACCTATCATCTCTAGATTCCCCGCAGAATTGTTGTCTGTCGTCTTCCAGTCATTGTATCGTCGATTTTTGCTAAATGTACAATAATGGAGTTTAGGTGTCTTTGATGGAATATGATGAGAAGCGGTATCGTGGCGGTAGAGGAGGAGGACAAGCTTATGAAGAAGACGGATCGGATGAGGAAATGGGTGGTCATCACGGGCCTCAGGTGCAATGTGCACAAAGCTAGAGTCATTCTCAAATCTTCTTGTTTTTTCTTTTTTTCCTCTCGAATCATTTGGCGATACTATGCTTTGATTGTGATCTTTAGAGACTAATGACTTGGTGAAATTGTATTCAGTAGTCCTTCGAATGAATGTGCTGTTTAACGCTGTACTGAAAACATTTGCTGAAAATGAATGTCGTTTACTTCATTTGAATCGCGTATATAGTGTTTTTTCTTGCTTCTGCAAAATAACAGCAAATTGTTTAGTTTTCTCATCATAGCTGATGTACTAGTGATGAGTTCAGGTAACTGATTGACCGTTGATGATAAAGAGCGTTCGGAATACTGGGTATCTATGCGAAAAAAGTCGGAATCATAAAATTGGGGGAGATCCTTTTGGGGATGCGAAGAAACGGGGGTGTGAGATAATTAATGAGGAATTTCTGCGAGGCAAGTGCGGCAAGTTTCGTAAACAACGATGGTGTGGGTATCGCTTAGATCTACTGCACTCCTGTGACTGACAGAGGAATCCTGTGAGAGGAATCTCTATAACCTCTCTTCTTCAGGCTTTTCTAATTGTAATGGGTTTCTTGCTTCTTCAGAGCAGATTAGAAAGGTGTTTACGGCACTCTCAGATCATCTGCGAAACTCGAACAGAAAAAACTTCTTAAGTTGAGAAGAGCTTTCGACTTGCAGGTTGAAAATTGTCGGAGATGCACACTGCCAGTTAACGCGCAAATGGTGTCGTCAACGCCGAGACACTACACTAATCGGCAAAACGGCTAGACTTTAGGTGTACCTATATGGTGCCTTTGCATAAAACGAACTGTGAAGTTTGCTTTTCTGGTAAAAACACCTCGCTGTCTGCGTCTCAATTTAGCTCCCCGAAAGGAATTTCTACACCAAAATGGCTCAATCAAAAGGGAAAAACTAGTACCTTGAAATGAAGTTTGATAGAAGGATCGGGAATTAGAGCTGAATATTGCAAAGTGCTGCGAAACCCAAACCAAAGTCCTGCGGAAGCCCCCTCCCCCCTCCTTTTCGAACTTTCGCCGCACTTCATCGCAGGGTTCCGCAGCACTTTTCAGGGTTTCCGCAGGTGAGCCGGCGGAAATGCTGTGAAAGTGCTGCGGAAGTTCCGGTGGTTTGAGTAAATAGTACGAAACGCCAGCTTCGATGGCACAGTCCAACTGGCGGTGTTTTGCGTGTTATTTCACAGCTTCAAGCTTATTCTGCCGACACCTTCTCGTGTGTTTGTATACAGCTCCATCTGCCGTTGAATCACATCGTTAGCATTGAAAGGAATGTTACATTTTGAGGTATTTTAGCTGCAGAAACGAAAGAGAAATAAACCGCCCAAACCCATTTGGGATTCTGGCCATTCCCGTCAGAGCTGACGCAAACTTGCACAAAATCTCAACGCCGCACTGTGTAAGTTGGCGTCTGCTTTGCAGCGGCAGATTCAAAATTTTAATTAGAAGCAGTAATAAAATGTTTTACTTTGGCTTGTCCCTATTATTTTTCATGCAGTCATAATGGAGTTTATGTTAGTAATACAAAAATTTTACTGTTATCTTGAGAATTATCGATATATTCTTTGCTGTAAGAATAATCAGGACTCTATATATTTGACATTCCGTAGGTCTTTAGCAAGAAAAAGTCCAATTTTTCGAGTTTGGTTTGTGTTACTTTTCCTTTACTTCGTCTTGTTTCCATTTTTCGAAGACTTGCTTATATGATTTCACGAAGTAGATTAGCGTTTTAGCTATACTCGTAGTGAATGCGTTATGGAGCTGCCAGATGTAGTGAAAGAGAAGTTGATAGAACTGGATGATGAGAATAACCAGCTGAGAGCGGTAGGCAAAATACACACTTTTCATGGTCTTATAATTAGACTTCAGGAAGTAACACGGTTGCGGGCCAGTATCGTCAACAAGGATGAAATATTGAATGAGCTAGAAGAAGAAAATGTTCAATTACGTACAGCAAAGCAGAAAATTAGTTCAGACAATACTAAATGTCTACAGCTAGAGCAGACAATTGTCAGTTTGCGAGTGACGGTTAGTTTTACTTCAATTTGCAAGTTTGGACCTACTTGATTTTTCTCACTTCATCCGTTTAGCTTGAAGAAAAGACTCGAGACTCGTATAATTTGATGCATGAGGTGGAAACTTTGACTGCTTCACTTGTCTCTGCACAAAGCGAAATTGATGAGCTGCGCAGAGCTTCCACTCCACCCTCTACGGAGGAAAGCATCATCGTGGAGCCATCAAATAGGGAAGAGATGGTTAGTTGCAGCTTTACTTCAGCACTGTTATTTGCATTGCGTTTTGCTTTAGGTTATTTTTATTTTAAAACTTTCCTCAATGATAGTTTATCACAAACTCCTAGGCCTCATAATCCAAGAGTCTAATATCAATTTTTGTACTTACTGTTATCTGTCCCTGCACAAGCACGCAGGAGTATAACTATTGGTTCTATCTTATGTCGATAGTTTCTGCCAATCCATCAGTGGATTCTCAACTGTTGCCTTACGCTTACTTACGCATTTCATTATCATATCTCAAATCTTCATAATTCTTGCCTCCCTTTCATATGTCTTTTATCTTATGGTCTCGAAACCTTTTGAAAAATAGTCTCTATGGCTTGTAAGATTACGCAACTGACTTAGTTTTACTTGTAAACATTCAATGCAATTCACGAAAATCTCTAAAAACTTAGATCAGATTTGTGGAAAAAACTTTTCCTGTTTTTTGAAATTTCCGGGGGCAAAAATACAGGCAAATGCTTGAGAATTTCTAAGAATCCAAATCAGATTTGCAGAAAAGAAATTTTCCCCATTTTCTGAAATTTCAGGGCGGCAAAAATTTTAGAAAGCATCCCATTTTTAGTAGCTGACGAATGCTCATTGCCCGAAAGCAATTTTTTTCTCTTTCTCGAAATTATGTCATGGTCGCCACGGTTAGGGTTGTCTATTAGTCACGCCGTTCATTGAGATCCCTGAATTACTGCCAACTTCGTGAGTGTTCTGCTCGGCCTCTTAGTATTTTGGTTGTTGTAGATGCGTCTGCAAGAAGAGAAAGACGATGCTTTGTTTGAATTACAAGAAGCCAGAAAGCGTATCCTTGAACTGGAATCTGAGCGAGAAGACCTCATAGAGCGGGCAGAGGCTGCCAATGCCGAAGCACGGGATATGGCTAGACATTTGAAGGTTCTTTGCATAATTATAGTTCCGACAACCTCTCTTTATGTCTTTTCTGGCTATAGGAGATTCGTGAACAAATGCATGAATTAGAAACGGAGCTTGCAACATCTCGTACTAATCTAAATATCGCGAATCGTGGAAATTCTATGTTTGCCGAGGTTTGTTCTGCTTTACTTGGCAAGTTCTTTCTATACTGTTTGATTAAGTTTGCTGAGGAGCGCTTGAAGTTAGAAGCAGATATGAAAGCCTTGTTTGCGAAATACGAGGCTGTTCGCAAACAAAATTACGACCTTTCAAATGAGCTAGATGAAGCTCGCTTGTTGGCATTGCGACGGACCAGGAGTGAAGTAAGAGCCTATGAAATGTATTTCCTTCAACTTCTTTCATCAGACTAGTCATTTTCTTCTCGAATTGCTGATAATTCTGGTTTGCCTCCTTAGGGTACTGGAAGATGTCGTTGCCAGGAACTAGCTCCTGAGCTGCGTCAGCTTAGAGGACGAGTGCAAACCCTAGACGACCGCTTATTCAGAGCAAGAAACGAACTTCTAGATATAGGCAGAACGACCAAGGGCATTGAACCGAAGCTCAGAAGTTTCTATACATCTTTGAAGTACGTTTACATTGATTCTTAGCCTTGGCGCGATACAATACATTATTTCAGGATAGAAATGGGAGCTTTGCGTGACGAACGTGATAAATATCGTGCTGACAGGGATAAGCTCATAGAAGAAAAGGCTGATCTTGCGGTATGATTTGCGGTTCCCCTTCCCTGCTACAAAGCATTATCCCTATCTTAGGTGCGAGTGGCTAATGCAGAGAAATCGGTTGCTGATGCACAAGAAGATATCGAAACCTTGAAGTTACAGCTAGCTATGATGAAAGAGCGGGAGCAGAAAAAAGATGCTGCCAAGGGTATGTGGCTTATCACGTTGATCTTTGTTGCACCAGATTGGATTTTACAGTGTCTGAAATGATGAGTAAGGGATGTAGCGATCAAGAGCAACGTCTGTTGTCTATACTGAATCATAATCAATTTACACCTGCTGCTTCGAACAGACCAACGGTCAGATTACTTTCTATAATTGATTAATTCTTTTTATTCTCATCTCTTCCAGGTACAGACCCCTTCTGTTATTCAATGCGTACTAGAAACACCACAATGCTCTGCTTTACCTCGCACTTCATTGCAAAGAGATCTACAAGGGTACCTTGTTCTAATCTGCTCTATTTTTAAATGAATTGATGGTTTCTATGATGATTTCAGCTCATTTAATGCTGCAGCTGATACCGGTGAAAGGCCCTTCAGTGGACTAAAAAAGCTTCGGGTTGGTTATCTGCTTCAAATATCTTTTTGTTCCATGCTGCTTGATTTTAGTTTGCCGACAACAGTATGAATGATGAAGAGGATCATAGTAGGAGGGATTCTATAAGTGCCAGTGAACTGCGAAGGATAGCTCGTAAACAAGCTCGACGTGGTCAATCGAAAGTTCTTCCAGTTCCTGAGAATTTGAGTTAGTTTGGCGTTTTATTCTTTTTCAACCATTTGTGTGTTCGTATGGTTTCAGAAAAAGTGACAGCTAAGATTGTCAATCCAAGTGCCTTACCTCCAAAATCTGCTATCACGGATACGTTCAAAGGGGAAGGGTCGGAAGCTAAAGTGGATGCGTCATTGTTGACTTCGACTCCCGCAACAGGAGCTTTGTCTTCACGGCGGTCTTGTGCAGGTATTTGCAGAGAAAATTTCTGAATTTTTTTCATCTCAATCTGTTTGCGATGTTGAAAAAGTTCTTCCAATTTAACCGATTTAGGCGATGTAAGCTTACACGACATGAGCGTACTGCACAAATTATCAGACTCCATTCATCAAGACGTATTTGAAAATATTCATCCACAGTCAGTTTTATCGGAAGTCGAAGTGGATGCAGAGGTAATTTATTCTGTCTGACTCTCTAAACATTGTATAATTGTTTCACTTCAGCTCAATTTTTCAAGTAGACGAAGTACCATACTAGATTCCACAAAGGAATTCAACAGGACAGCTTTAGAGGACGTTCCGGAAGAAAAAGAGAACGACTCGTCAATGAAATCATCACAAAGTTCTGTAAAATTGTAACCTGTATAATCTGAAGTTACTTATAACCATTACTTATGTATTTTGCACCTGAGGTGTTTATCACTAGTATGATCTTCTATTCTATGCATGCTATTTCTTAGAAATATGTTTGTGTATGAATTCTAAATAAATTGAGAAATTTATCATGTCGAACACAGGCAGTTTTATTTGCAGCATTCAAGCCTTGCACTTAGAATTTTCGCATATTCAAAAGCAACGTTCCCCCAAATTTTAACCTTTCATTTTTTGTCATTCAGGGTCCCTTCCGGGACCCCGATTACAGAATGAAGTGCAAAAGCAAAAAAAAAACCGACTTCTGGAAGCCCTATCCTTGAGGCACAAACTACTTTCAGTACCTGGATAGGGGGAGCTTAGTAGGGCGGGCGTGGTTTGATAGCACTTTCGCGGGTTTCAGGTCCTTTTTCTCCATTCAGAGGCCGCACTAGAGGACCGGATCAACGTTAATGGCCCTCATCTGAGGATTGCTTTAGGTTAGGTACTAATCGGGGTGACATAGATTTTGCCTGGACGCTGCCTTTGAGAAACGCGGCAGAAAGCGAGCACGGTAACTCTGGGAGATGCTTTGTGCGTTCGCCCCACATGGCGAGGCTCGCTACGGTAACAGTGCTGTTGCACTATTTTCAAATCATAATTTCTTGCCGTATCGGGAGTATAAAATGGTTTAAAATTTTGCTGTAATAAAGAATATTATTCCCTCTACAACCGTTACATATAAACTATTCAAAGTAAGTGCGAGAGATACAAGCAGTCGGAGAAAACTGTTCGTTTGGCAGTTTTCAGAAGTTTTTAGAAAAGTGAAAGAATGCAGAATGGACCCAAAAAATATATATACAGGGTGTCCCAAAAATGTGCCTACTGTTTGTTTGTGAATAACTCTCTTGTAATGAAGTGTTTCGAGAAGTTTTAGGTACCATTTTGTAGAGCGAGGTTCAACTTAGATTTACAGTATGGAGCGAATCATCGATCGCTCTTCGTTATTGTAGGATTACGGTAAGAACTTCCAGCATATGGAACCACTGTGAAATATACCACCCAACAAGGTTTTTTCAAAAAGTGTGAAAAATTGTGTGCTAGGATTTTCGCACATGATGATTCCATCTAACAGCTTTTACGAGTGTTTTCAGCTTTTTTGACGGTGTAATTACATTTCTGACAGATGCTGGAAATTGAATTATAATGATTTACCGGGAATAACTTAGAAAAGAAACATCACAGTAAAATGGGAATTTCAAATTCGAAATCGGCAGCTTCCATTACCGTAGTATAAGAGTTTTGTCTTGTTTGGTTTTGTTCCGAGACAGAATATGGCCTCCAATGGCCTAAAATCCTTTTCGAAATTCGTACCGTAATTCTACAGTAGTGAAGAATGATAGATGATTCGCTCCATACTGTAAATCTAAGTTTATCCTCGCTCTACAAAATGGTTCCTAAAGCTTCTCGATAGACTTCATTACAAGAGAGTTATTTACAATCAAACAGTAGGCACATTTTTTTGGGACACCCTGTATATTCCTTATACAGTGTTGAATTGCTATGTGCAGTGGGCTCAAATTCGCCGAATAACAAAGCGGAATTTCTTGTTATTTCCTGTAATTGTTCACTTCTTCATTCGGATTTTTTTGTAAGCGGAGCAAATGAACAACAATTATCGAAATAATTTCCTGACTAACAATGACTATCTGAAGAGTATAGGGAATTTTTCTAGTTCCATTCTATAAAAGAAGTCTTTGAGGGATGCAAAGAAGTCATCGAAAAAGTTTTACATCCTAATATGACCAATTTCCGAAAAAAACAGCAAAAATAAAATTATTATATTAATAATTAAATAATATAAATAATAATACGAATATTACAAATTTACTGGGTCTATTCTGCTGTTTTTCAGTATTTTCGAAACTCCCCTAAAAAGTGCCAAACTCGCGTATCTCTTCGACTGCTTGTGTCTCTCGCTCTTTCTCCCAATAACTCATATCAAAGTAAGGGTTGTAGATGGATGGTTTTTCCTACCTAAATTAAATTCTTTATCTTGATACAGCAAGAAGTTATGATTTTTCGGAAATGATGCGACAAAATTTTCACTTTATATATATTTTTTTTTTTCACGAGATCCATTCAAAACACAAGATATCTTCCGAATTTCCTTTTTTTCTCGCTATTTATTCTTCAACCCTTGTGCATATCTCAATAATAAGCATCGAACAGTTTTGAAAGGGAAAACTGCTTTGCAGAAATTTTCCCTAGATGAGACTGTAATAAATCTGTTTTGTGGAAATCCATGTGAGAACTGTGACCTTCAGTAGCATAACCAGAGAAGGTATTTAATCTATTTGTAACCGAGTGAACACGGATTTAGTATAGGCGGTCTTACTCAACTAAAAATGTTGTTTAGATTTCTAGGCTAGAATATAATCTAGGCAACTAATCCACCAACTACTCTACATCTAACAAGGAATGCATGTTCAGTCGAAGTGGCCTTTCTACATGTGACTTAAACCATATTGAAGGGCATAAATTGCTGATTCCAGATCTGCCTTCCTTATTTGCAGAGCTTTTATGGACGAGGAGTTATGAGTGCTTATTTTGGCCAAAAATTGAATATGCAAGTAAGATAAAAATAGCCGTAGTACTTTTTATAGCTCTTTAGTGGAGCAGTGATAATCGTCAAAGCACTTTATTTGAAAAACACTCCCAAATAAGAAATATACCACACTTGATTGCATTATTTAAGAGCTAGTAAAATGTTAGCAACTCATTTTATCCAAAATGCACGGTCAATTTTCGGCTTTAAAAAACGCTCATAACTTCTCGTGCGTAAATGCTCTGCAGATAAGAAAGGCAGATTTGGAGTCAGCGTTTTATGCCCTTTAATATGGTATACATCTCATTCAAAAAGGCCACTTCGACTAAACAAGCTTCCCTTGTAAGTAAGTAAAACTTTCAAACGCTTAGAGATGAAAAACGACGTTGGCGACCCTTCTAAAGTAGCATTTAAGTTGCTTTCACTGATCAATGGTGAAACCAGTGGAAACGTAAAATGCACAGCAGATGAACCTCCTATTCTCACCCATCTTACGATTTACCATCATTTGAATAGATAACAGTGTTCAGATAACAACAGGCTGAATTAAACAAGAGATCCGGGATAAGGATGAAGCATTTAGTCTATAGAACCTCCACAAGTCGGCCGACCATAGCCAATCTTAGGTTGGTTCGCAGGTATAATGGTATTGGCGTGAATCACCGTTTTGCCGTAACATTGAAAATTCTGAATTCAAAGCCTCTATTCGTCTGTTGATGGCTTAAAAATCCGGTCCACTTCTTAGGATCAGAGAACCCTATATGTAATGCTGAACTTGACCTTATTATTCTACAGCTGGCACCGTCGTCGCTCATTTGCTTGAGCGACATGGAAGAAAGGGATCAAAGTATAGGGCATTCGAAAAATCGTGACGATGGCGCGACCGCGCGCGACACGCACGCACTCCCAATTCTTGGTTCCTATCTCCGCTTAAATAGCTTTTGTGCTTACATATGATAAAGCTTAGCGTCGAGGTGTTGCCTGTTTGTATGGTGGGTGTTTTATGTCCTGTGTGCGCAAAAACCGCAGTACTCGCCGTCACGATTTCAAAAATGAACCATACTGTCCTGTTTCCTACGGGTTCCAGCGCTAAGCGGTGATTGGTTTCAATGGAGTTGGTTGGTTTCAATGGAGGCAACATAGCATCATCAATGGAGTGATGCATAGGAAAGAAAATAAGAACATGATCCTTCCTTTGGTGTGAGCAAGTCCTCGAATAAGGCAGCGAATGAGAAGTTACTATCTTGAGTAACTCTGGTTTCCTCAACCTATTGGTCTTCTGAGCATTTTCTACACCACAACGTTCTACGAGCTCTTCATGTTCACCGCTAGATCCAAATCACTAAATGGAAAATGGTCGAAACACTCCATCATTTCCATTCTACTTTTGTGAGGGCAAGTTGGAAGAAATGAACCAAACTATGGCTGATTTCTTTGCTTCAGAGAATATATCTTATGTCCTCTGAGAGGTGTTCCGCGCTGCTGAACGGGTCGTTTCCGAATTAGGAAAGTTTTGAACTTTTGTCGGATGGCGGTACCATTTTTAAGCGATCACATAGGAGCAGCAGACGTCTTTCATTGAAAAAGTTCCAAATTCTCATAGTCGAAGCCTTGGAAAAACAATCTTCTTTACTTTCTCATAGCTCAATTCTCTGAAAAAGTAGAAAAGCAGTTTTAAGCGAGATAGAATTCCCTAAAGGGCCGGGCATACTTCAAGCGATTTCAGTCGCGACGCGATTGGGCATTTCGCCAGAAGTCTTCAGATTCCACTAGCAAACTGCACATGCATAGTGTGTATAACTTACGTGGATTGTTGAAATGCCCCGTCTTCTGCACATTTAAAATGAGCTTACAATGAGTCATGAACAGTTGGAATATTGCCAGATCGCGTCGCGACAGAAATCGCGTGAAGTATGCCCAGCCCTTGAGGCCTCGAGCAGAGTTCACGCGATTTCATCGCCTCTCAACTCTCCAAACAAGACAACAGTTACGAGTCCATTATGCCGATCCCACACTTTGGTTGTGATAATTCGTCATCAATGGTCGTAATAGTAATCTATCACAACCGAAATGCAAGATGAATGCATGCAATGGACTTGCAGATGTTGTCTTGTCGGAAAAATCGCGAGGCGATGAAATCGCGTGAACTCCGCGCGAGGTCTAGACGGGTAAACCTAGGTTGCGGCAAGGGCGTTGACATTGATTAAATCTACTATGGAACCTCTTAGTTCTATCTAATATTACTCATAATTAAAACATTTGCAGCCCCAATAACGAATGACTGAAAGGTCGAGGGTTAGTTTGCTCGCACACGTAGTTTGCTCCTTCCTAAAAACAGATTTAGACAAGAAAATCCATTTCCAAATCGAGAGATGTGAAATATGACGTCGCTGTAGAAGAGGCCGATGAAGTTGCGGTAAGAAGAAACAATTTTACCAAGAGAACTATTCTCGTCTTTCGTTTTAGTACAAACTCTTTTCAACAAGCACTGCTAGTACAGGAACTGCTAGTAATGCACCTGCATCAGCATCAGGAAAATCCAAAACCATAGTAAGTGCCATTTACCTTTGCGAGGAAAATAGACATGGTCATCAAGTAGTAGACGCATAGACTTCATAGCCATAAACTGCGGACGTATCGGCGTCTCTCTGATCGAGCGCTCTTTCGTTTCTCTTACCATCTGCTCTCTCGCTCATGGACGAGCTATCGTGGCTGGACGCAATAGCGCCGAGTCTTTGCGTGTCATGAACCATGTATATGTCGGTCAAATAGATACTGTAAAAGTATCTACAAAAAATGGGTGAAAGCATCTCAAAATTTTACTTGTAAGATGCTGAATGCCGTTCTTTCACCTTTCATGGAATTCCATGAGCATGGTGGCAAAAGGTTGGAAGTGAAAAAGACCTCAATGTGCTTCGCTCATGATTTCCAAAACTTTTCCGATTTTTTTCGATCACTTTCTCTTCTGCGCGAGTTAGTCCGTATTAATCTGCTGTTCCTCCTTGCGCTCCTTCATACTGTAGTGACCCAACAAGAGAACTTTCTTGATTCTCGTTATTCAATAATTATAAATGTATCTTCTTTGCAAAATGTCTCGGGTCCTCACGGATCAAGCCTGTCCTCCCAAATCATGTTTCACCGCACTTTCTTGGAACGCAAGCACACTATATTGAGCAGATCTAATCGACTAGATCTTTTTTTCTGTCACATAACTTAGCCTCTGTTATGTCTTCGAAAGAAAGGTCCATGCGAGTGATTGAGTGATTTTGAACAAATTGGTCAGATCAGCATATCAATCTGCAAAAAAGGTTGATAAACTTCACTTAAGTTTCAAGCTATACTACATTCTAAAACACTTGATTGAAAGGACAACGATGGCTATTTCAGGATACGAAGAAACCACCATCGGCTGTTATAAATGCTTTGAAGAAGGTGAGTCGACCAGTAGTCAAGATGATACCCCTAACAATGTTGCATCTGCGGTGAAGTACAACGCACATCTTTGTTGAATATATCGAAACTGAGTCCGGGGCGTGGGAGAACCAAAGCCGCCAGTTTGGGCCGCCTCCGCGGACTGCTGGTCCTGGAACGACATGCAACAACACTGCGAAGGGACCAGTTGGCCGCGAAAGGCGGCTCAAACTGGCGGCTTTCGTTCCCCTACCCGAGTCCGGGTGTAGGACGATTCGCATGACCGTAATGCTTTCCACATGGGACCACACTGCGACACACCCTGCGGCGGCTTCTGCGTAAGCAAAACAGGGGGAGGAGAGATTTGCGGCGTGCATTACATGTTAAGACAAGCCAAGATCAGGGAACGCTGGAGACCGCCGTGCGAGAAGACCGTTTCCCAGTCACATGCTGTATATCAAATATCACGTATATCATGCTGTATATCAAATAGATTCTTAAAAGATTATTCTGGAATTTTCTGCATATACGCTGAGCCCGTAGCTGGCTTTACAACTGCTGAAATACCAAAAGTCCATTTTTTTCAACGTCTGTGAAAGCTATTTTTCCGTTGATGCGTTCAGTTGTTTTTGTGTAGGCGCCGTGCTAGAATCGTGCCAGCCATCGATAAATTGATACGGTACGCTGGCACGGCACCGGCACAGACAACTATAAACGTAGGCTGAGGGTGGGTTTTTCCTTTACATACATTCCATCACCTCCAATTCTAAATTCGTCAAGAAGTAGTCTCTCAAAAACCTGTGAAACCTAGGCTTAGTACTTGTATGAATGCATAGAATGATTAGACAACCATGGTTGCTTTAATATGGCTTTCTGCAAGAACTGTAAACTAGAGTCTTTGGAGTTCCAATATAGTGCTAAACTCACTTTCAGGTGACAGAGTTTCATGGCTCTGTTGGTGTTCCACTAGAAGATGAACCCTTTTACCACGGCTACATGGAACGGAAAGAAGCAGAAAAATGCCTCACAAAGATAGGAGAATTTCTTGTGCGCAAATCTTTTATCAGAAATAATGAGGTGTGCTTATGAGTCTAATCTCCCGTCTGAATTCAAGTATATGGTAGGGTTATATCATCTCGATACGCGTTGGTACCGATCGGGTGCTGCATTTACATGTTCAAGAAATCGTTGCTCAGAGATTGTACTGGGTCCGAACATTTTGTTTCACTGTAAGGTTATTTAAAAATCTGAAGAATAGGGAAAGTCCATGACTTCACTTCTAGTCGATCTCTGACCTGGTTCGCTACCACATGACACTCAAGGCTCCAGTTTACGAAAATGATATCAAGCTTCTGTCATATCTTGAACGAGAACAATGGCAACTGTATCACGAGCAGGTATTTCAGGCAACTTACAATTCTAAAAAAATTGTTAAGACAGTCTGCGGCCTCTACCAATATATGGAAACTCATTGTGGAGTCCCAGCTAAGCAGTTACTCAAGTGGTAACTCATACAATTCATTCGTTAGACTAGAAATTCAATTCTGGATTTTCGCCCATTATCGTACTTCAAGCGAAACCTGCCCTTAGAGTACGGTACGGGCGAGAGCTCGCAGTTGAACTTCTAACAAATAGATTATATGAGCTGACGCTTGGCCACTGTCTTAGCCTCGAAAATCTGATCTACCTACGAAGTCCAAGTACCCTGTCTTGTCACCCTTTGAAGCATAACAGCGATATTCAAGATCGTCCTCGGCCGCCTCTTGGGGCATGGCGAATTTGGAGAAGTCTTCCAAGGAACATTTACTATCGGCCTCTTTTCGAAACCCATCGAAGTGGCCGTGAAGACATTGAAGGAAGGATCATTGAGCAGTGATGACAGGTAAACCAGGGTCATGATAACTGCTTCGTTTAGGATAACTACATAATTTTAGGGTGACATTTCTTCGAGAGGCAAATGTGATGCTTAAACTTCAACACAAACATATAATTCGTTTATATGGTGTAGCTACACAAAAGGAACCAATAATGATTGTCATGGAACTTGCTCCTGGTAAATTTACTTTTTTTTAAAAATTATCAGCATCGGATCTGAAATGCTAGTTTTATATTTTCATGGCGTTTCCTAAGGTAGCTAGTTGTCCGTCCGGCGCCTATTAGTTTCAAGCACCGTGCTAGCGCTATGCCGGGAAGTCGATCAATCAATGGACGTACCCACTGAGTCGTGGCACGGCGCTGGCACGGCGTTGGAACGGCGCTGACTCGGGTTTGTCACATGGGAGGCTGTCATGGATGGAACTCGCTCGGTACGCTATCTGAATAAGATAGCGCTAAAATTACTGATTTCATTTTGAGAATTGAGAATTAGTAATTTTGTTCTAGGTGGATCGCTGCTTGAAAAGATTAGAAAAACCAAACTGGATCTTGCTCACAAGCGAAAGTATTGCTACCATGCCATGTGCGGTATGGAGTATCTAGAATCACAACAGGTCAGCTATTCCAGATTGTGATCCCGTATACTATGTGGATGAAAAAGTCAGATTCCATTTTTAAGCACCTTTCAGGTTATTCACCGAGATGTGGCAGCAAGAAATTGTCTGATCAGCGGATCTGATGTTTGTAAAATCAGTGATTTTGGATTATCAATGCTAGGTCAGCTGCATAAGGAGAAACAAATGATTAAAGTTCCAGTTAGGTCTGTAAGGCCCAATGCCTTACTTGGCCATCCCGAATAAATCTTATAACTTAGGTTCCTGGCACCCGAGACTTTAACTCATGCCACGTACTCAAGTAAGTCGGATGTGTGGAGTTATGGTGTGCTGATGTTTGAAGTGTTTTCCGATGGAGAAATACCATATAAGGAGGTTAAGGTACGGCAGAAGCCCACATTGGAGATGTGTAAGGTATATCGAAAGTTTTAGACTCTGAAAGACGTGCGAAAGAAAGTCATCCAAGGATTACGATTGAAACCACCGCCAGACATGCCAGAAGAGGATGCGAATATAATGATGCGTTGTTTCGAAACAGATCCTGAAGCAAGAACATCATTTTCCCTCCTGAAGCAAGAGTAATTCATGATTCTCGACTACTTCAATTATTCTGACAAAATCATCTTTCAGCTACAAGAAGTATCAGCCCAATGTATTGGGAAAGCTCGTCGATTTCTTCAAGGATAAAGCTGAAGCATCAGCTACTGCTGTCAAGTCATGAATAGATTCATTGTAAACTATGATTACGCTCAATCTTATACGTAAAGAAGATCGTCGTCTATAGCACTCACTCAAATTTTTGTAAAATGTGATTCTTGCTGTATTTTTGGATGTGATATAAACGACTCGGCTTAGATTGAGATTTGGTCGCAATTTCAAATAACTTTCATCAGGATATTACACTAATTTAAAAAAATTACCGCTGACATGGGGTCAGTCATTGCTCTTATATGTACTTCAGGTCACTCAAATTCGCCCTATAGGCACCCGCTATACTTGATCCTCTTGATCCTCTCGATCCACTCAATCCGCTTGATCCGCTTGATCCGCTTGATTCGCTTCGTGCAAAACGCGCGTTCCTAATGTGTCATTTGGCTCGCGTACAGCGAATTTGCGTAACCAAACAAAATTTTTCACCGACGCATCGCCAAATGACAAACTGCTGTATGCGCGCGTTCTGCACGAAGCGAATCAAACGGATCAAGCTGATCAAGTGGATTAAGAGGATCGAGACGATCAAATATGGCGGGTGTCATATGTTCAGTGGGGAGGGAGGGGGAGAGAAGAGTGAGTTTGCAGTACAATAGGGGAACCGCAACTGAATGGCTTAAATCCAGCTGCAGATAATGAATTTCGAAGCCAAAAATCCTTTCACATGAGACAGAGAGGAGGCAGCTCAAGCTCATTGTCGCGGGTTGGGCCCTCAGCTCCAGTCATTCAGAGGTTGGAGTTCTCCTGCATCGGCTTACAGGAGCTGGTGGTCCACGAAGTGGAAGAACAACACGGAGTGGTAACACTGCTTGCGCAATGTTTTCAAGCAGAGACGTATTTCCAGTAAATAATGCAGACATCTGTACCCACTATGTATCCGAACTGATGAGCAAAATGCCAAAATCCTAGGGGACAGCAAGTCGGAAGAGCTCCTGAGACGGCATCGCCAACGTGCGAGATGGCCCGCCGCTTACGAGACACCCCAGGTTACCTCGTAAGCGCGGGCCATTCTCCTCCCTAGAGTGATTGGTGTTGAACATGCGTGACCTAGGGATAGCGCTGCTTGATTGATTGAACGATGGAAGTTGGAACCGGCCTCCCACAAGTTGACAGTTTTGACAAACCAATTTGCATAGCAAGCCGAGTCATTTAGCGGTTGTGAGAGGGGAGGCAGTACGAGGACTGGCGTTTTAATACCCTTTGCAGGCGGTGGCGAACTCCCTGAAGAGGTCGCGCAATCTGCAACACTCCACGTATAAAGGACCGTTTCAAAAGTAGGCTTCAATATACCGAGAAATGGTAAATCGGCTCTCAATCGTCTCCAAATTTCACTTTCAAAATCAATACTTTTAGAACAACCACACTATAGCCGCATCCAACCTCCAAAGTGTTTTTCTTGCAATGAAACTGGACTTTTTTGTTGAGATCTTCTGTTAACGTTCTGCATTGCTTTATAAGATGTCAGTGGTTGCTTGTGCTTGTGCTCATCCACGTTGGCGTATCAGCCCAGAGTTTTGGTGACAAAAGCTTTTTCGCTCTTCTTAACACGTTTCGGACCGCGAAATCGCGCGCGGCGAAAAAGAATGTACTTTTGGCCGTTAGCCTACAAAGGGACCTCATTTCGCAGCCTGTGGGCCACATCTGAAATCAGATAAGCTCCATACCCAAAGTTCTGAGTGAATTCGAAGTGTTTGAATTTTGTCGCTTGAGAGGGACTTCTGCTTTCTTGAAAGATAGCAGTAAAAACTTAGTTTCAGATAGTATTCAAAAGTATCTATGTTGTACACGGTACACATCAGTATTGAAACTACGGTCTTTCTCTTTAAAATCGAAGCAAAGGAAAGTTGCGGCGTCGCACGCCTCGTTCGCGTTGCCGCACTTCGTTGCAAATGTTGTTCAATTTGTCCTCATATCTCTTAAACAAATATGCGCGGCGCAGCTCTGCAGAGTCATTTGAAAAGTAGGAGCTTAGATCTTCGATTTGACATCTTTGGACTAGAAGTAAACCTCCTGTAAACGCGGAAAGATCCTTCAAAGCAGCGTGCTGCACCATGTGCAGCACCGGTCCGAAAAGTGTTAAACTAGATTTGGCGCGACCAGAAAATGCTGAAAAGCCGACTGCATTCTGTATCATTTGATCGTGGTGTCAAATCACTGAGAATAGATGATTTGATAGTGGTGATGAAAAGGTGTTTATTGATTCATCCAGCTCTCTCTCTCCACTCCGGCAAAAATGGGTATTGCCCAGAGATTGCAAAAATGAAGTGCTTGACCATCCCCGTTCGCATCATTAGGCCCAAGAATGATTTCCGTCTCGTTTTCGGCAGCCTAGATAAACCTTCAATCTTTCACCACAGGCTCTGCCTCATTAACGGCTCTTCTAAAATGGAAAAAGTTTTCATTATCACTGTAAGCAAATTATTCACGAAAGATGGCTCTGCAGATTAAAAACATTGGTAAGAGAAGATCAGAATTTGTTGGTTACTTGAACTTCCCACACACCTGCGAGAAATGTGCGAAATTTCTTTTTGTCTGCGTTTCGAACAAGACGCACCTATTTTTTTTCTAAACTCCATTGGCCTGAACACATCAAAGGATTTCGCGATCAAAGACCCTATGCCGTGCTGCGTATTGCCGGAGGATATCGTGTGGCAGAAGTTTTGTTTTCCGAAACACAAGTAAGCAGCTGAGCGGCTTGCCTGAGAAATTAAAAAAAGATCTGTCTTGTACTCGTAAAATTAGGGTAATCTTTATTGTTGGGTTCTACATTTCTTCGCGTTTGTGTCGTTGACAACCTTTCCCAGGCAGGAAATCCTTGAGCCGCCAGATTGTCCCCCTTCCCATTGCTGGTTGAGGGCATACTTGATAATATGTATGATGCCTGTACAGTGCTATTGTTTGTCAGAAGGGAGCATCTGATTATGCACACCCAAAATAGTGGCATAAACAGGCCTGAAAGCTCACGTCTAGATTAACCTTGTTAAATCTATATTCGACTGAAATCGTTTGTCCAGTAAGCAATCTATTATATCTTTTTCAATCGCTTGCTCAATTGTGAGCAACAGTGTTTTTGGCGTCAATAAAGATGAAACTGGAGTTAGTCCGTAGTCAGTTCGTCTCGCTTGCCGCCTTACCCTTGCTGCAGCTGTACCATCTCATGACCTAGTTCAAGGAAAGACGTGGAAGGGGATTGCGATAGGATTCGATTGGATGATTTTGTTAAAATACAGCTCATTGGAAAAATTCGCCAAGAGTGGACATGTGATTGCCTTTGTTGATCCATCCTTTCTATGCCTTGCAGTGTAGCGTGTCTAGACAGACTGTATAAAGCAGAAGAATGTCTTTTGTCATTTAATTCTTGGTATGTGAATTTTTTTGGAAGGCAGCAGGTGCGCAAAATTTCAAAGGAAGGGATCCACAGATTTAATTTTGTTTATTATACTCGTCATGGAGCGCGAAGAACGCCGTGAAATGATCTGTGCTAGTGCAAGATTTTCGCTTTGTCAAAGTCAAGCCTTGACATTTCTCTTTTCAAGTTCTTGATTCGAGAAATAACGTTTCATTCCCCAAAAAAATTCCGAACGAAAAGTAGCTATAAAGTCATATTCAGAACTGAAGAGAAGAAGATCGATGACACAAAGTGCAACGGATAACGATCTTTTCAAAAAAGAAATTTAGAACTTTGCAAGGATGACTGTGTGGTTTCTTAAGTTAGACGCTGTAAGCACTTTTATGTTATCAATAATTATTTCCAACTTTTTCGCCTTCTGTCAATTTAAAATTTGTGAATTATGAATTCTAGTGCAAATTCATGCGATGTGGAAACTCAAATTTATGGTTAGCGGCCTTAGGCTACTTGATATTTCTTTATATGAGAGAACTACTGTATCCTCCGGAGAATGAAAAAGATTTTGTATTTTCCTTCCGACTTTGTAAGTGCAGAGTATTATTTTGAAAAACCTTTGAAAAATGAATTTTTTGCGAAGATGACGACATCAGGAAAGTTAGGCAAGAAATTGAAGATGATACTTTCGACACTTTTCCTTTTGACAGAAAAACGCTAGTCCGACCGTTTTTCAGATATAAAGAGCTATTCAAGGTGAGCAAAGCGTGATTTTTGTCTTGCTTTCATAGGGCTTATCAAATGCAGTGTCGCTTGCGTCAGCATCTCCACCCGCGTTGGACTCTGCATCTCTTCCGCGCACATGCCCTCTGATCACTTCCACTGCGAGCGTGGGAAAGGCGGAGCCTCAATCGATTGGATACTATTAGAGAGCATGTTCGCGGAAGAGACGCAGAGTCCAGCACGAGAGTGGAGATGCTGATATGAGCGACACTGCGTTTGTTAAGCCCTGTATATTTAAAAAAATGTCGAAATAGATATTACAGGTCTCTCCGAAGTACTCACTTACCACCTGTCAGATCGAGAAAACTACATCTCTTTTGAAAGATGCTATATTTTGCTTCCTAAAAAATCCGTGGAAGTTTAAAGCCCAGGGCAGAAACATTAGTACGGAGGAGTATTTTACACGGTAACTTAGTGATTATTGACTCATTCACTTGGTATTTTTTACTGGAACATTATGGACAATTCACATTATGGCTGTTTTATCAGATCTCATAGACATTTTTTTAGACAATGCAGAAATGAATATCTGGCAAAAAATTACACGCTTGTTGGTAGATCGCTTGGACGAATAAAATTTGTTGTACTTCGAGATCCTATCGATAGATTTCTGAGTGGTTACGTGGACAAATGCCTCTTGTTGGTTTTCTTTTCTTGTACATTGCAAATTATCAAGACAGTTTTAGAAGACCAAAAGATGTAGAAACACGCTGTTTTGCTTGCAAAGGAGATTTCAATTGCTTTGTTGAAGCATTTTACCAAAAACTGATGGAAGTGTACAGAACCCAGAATAACACATACCATTTTGAAGTAGCACATATGGCACCTCAAACATGGTAATGTCTGTCCATCCTTAGTAGTCTTTTGGCAGCAGTGATCCTCTTCAGGTATTGCAATTTCAAGGACCACCTTGAAGAATACACTTTCATTGTGTATCAGAAATGCAAAAGCAGCATTAAATTTGCCACGGAGTTGGACAAGG